ATAGGTTGGTGATTCAGTTATGTCAGCTTGAGGAATGGGAAAGAAAAAGTCAGGGGTGCCAATGTCAGAGAGGAAGTCATCTTCAATGTCTGAAAACAAGGTATATGAGTAACGAGCGAAATATAAATACGGGGGGTGGGGGGCACTCGGCATATGAAACGGGTGGGGATGCTCGTCGGAAATTTTGAATTAACCCCTAAAGGAGACCGATCTGGCGGGGCCCAAACTTTTTTTGACCCCTTAAAGAGACCATGTTAAAACACAGACATTGTATATATTTTTATACTTTTTCGCGTGCAACGTTAAACGAGACCTTCACGGCTAAATATGATGGCGTTTTGCGTGAGACCAAAATCCGAAATTCATACCCCTAAGGGAGACGACGAGCATCCCCACCCCTTTCATAAGGGTAGTCCCCCCCCCGGGATAAATAACCTAAAAAGTCGTTTTGACGACTAAATGCGATGAGTGTCAAATGCAATGAATAGTTTCCTTTAAAATGTCTATGCAAATTTATCCTTACAGTTGTTTTCTAGTGTAGTGCAGCATTAATATGATTATAAAAGGTAAACGCTTTTCGCAAACGTCCCCGTCTAAACATTATGAGCCACAGTTGACTCCCGATAACTCGAACCATCTCTAACTCGAACCTCGCGCTGACCCGAACCAAAATTGATTTCCCCTGGTTTTTGTCATACATTTACTCCAATTTTACCCTCGATAACTAGAACCTCTCACTTACTCGAAGTAATTTTTGTTCCCCCTCAGATCATTACTCTATAATTTTACCCTCGATAACTCGAACCATGTTTTGAGCTCTTTAAAAGTCGGGAAAAACAGTGTACTGGCGTCCTAAACATTGAATTTTGAATTTCCCATTGACGTGTTGTAGGCATATAGTTTACTAGTGGAGGCCGATGTTGTTTGTCACAAATCTAACATGAAACCGCTTTATTTCTCAAAACAGTAAAACGCATGCTCTATTAAGGCAATGCTTTGTTACGTTACGTTCTGATTTATAAGCTAAAAGTATGTTTCAATTTTCACTTAACATTTCTACAATATTAAATGTGATTGAAATGTTCACTGTGCAGTAAAAACTGTTCTTTTTTCTTTACTCCCAGCTAGTTTGTTCGAGCTCCCGCTAACTCGAACTCCCGATAATTCGTACTTTTTTCGATTTCCCTTGCAGGTTCGATTTATCGGGAGTCGGTTGCGTTATCGTTTTATCTGCCAGAAACAAATGACGTGTTGAGTGTTAGAGTACGACAGGTTCAACTGTTGGCAGCCTTTAACTCATTGTTACACGACCATTTTATTGAATAAAGATCACGTTCGAAACCGTGCCATATTAGTGGCACCTTTGGTGTGTGTCAAAGCAAATAATTAAGGTTAACACGACGAAGCCAAACACCAATTTTCGTGGTTTTGACATGTAAAAATTAATCAGTTAATTTAGCTTATACAGAAAGACAAGTAACGGGACGATTGACTGTTTATATCCTGAGAAAACGGCTGACAAGTTGGAACTCAACAACCGGTTTCCCGGCGAAATGACGTCTGCGGAACGACTGCAGAAATTCCATACTGATGACGTGTCACTACCCGGATCCGGGTAGTGCTTCTGATTGGTTGAAGCATAAACACTGAATTCCTCTTTATACCACTCAAAAACGCAAGTGTATCTAAAACAGAGACATCAAACAGAATTTAGTAATTACGGTATTACTTAAGATAGCTGTTGATACCTCAGGATAAAAACACCCTTCTGGAATTGAGGGAATCAGAAATGGCGGTCATTCACGTTATATGACGTAATGCATTACAAGATTTAACTACAGCAAGACGTTATTATTGTTGACCCAGTCAAAATGGCCCTCTTCACACTACAAAAGCACAAATAAACATTAACTACAATGTGAAGGCAATACATCTACATGCATAGAGAGAAACAAATAAACAAACAAAAACAAAGAACCCTAAAAGGTATAGAGGTTCGAACAGCAATATTAAGCTCGTCGCGAATCAACGAACGTTTATCAGCCTTGACACATAAACCTGCGTATTACATTTGAATATAAGTTCATGATCAGTTCATAGGAAATATTATTCATTTCAAATGAGAAAAACAATATCTGAATTTCTTCTCACCCACAGAAGCGTTCACTCTGGAAAGTAACAAATTTCCCGTCAAAATTTACAGGACTTCTAAGATCATCAGTAATTTCCATCCATTTTTTATCTTCGCCATCAGATTTTAAGAACAATACTCTGACACGGCATGTCGAGGGGTCAGGATTTCCTTCCTGGTCGCTTTGTAGCGATACTGGCAACTGAATTGTGACGGGCTTCAAGAACTCGACGAGTTGAGGACAGGTTATACGCAACACAGGGCCAAGGAACACGTCCTGCTCTTCAAATTCTTCAGCGGGAACTTCATGTACCTAGAAGAATAAACGACAGAACAAAAGATTTAAAAATCGCTAGTTTGACGTCTGATTCATATTTTCTTCGAGATTTGACAACTTGGCTAGATTTCTCCTGGGCCATATCTCGCGAGGCGAAACATGTAGCCTTTTACCGTTGTGTTAGTGACGCCGTAAAGGTGCCTCAGTATTTCTAGGTAGCCTAATTTCGCGCTAACTTTTGGCATTTTTGTCGAGATTAGAGAACCTGAAGTTTTCTTAGAAACAAGTCTCACCAGTCGAAAACAGCTAGAATGTACCACTACACTAGCTTCACGCATCTGTCTGTCTATCATCCTAGCACGAAAACAATACAAAACTAGAGAGAGATTATTCAATTGACTGACGTGCCTACCTTCAATTCCAAAGGAAACTTTGCTTTTGGCGGAACTGCTTTTTTGGGGACTTTAATACTCACACCAGGATATTCAGGGTGAGTGAATAAGCCGCCATTAGGTGTGATGGTGTATATCGGAGAGGACTTAAGACGACAGACAACTGCATATGTTGAGCATTCAGTTATGTCAGCTTGAGCAATGGGAAAGAAAAAGTCTGGGGTGCCAATGTCAGAGAGGAAGTCATCTTCAATGTCTGTAAACAAGGTATATGAGTAACGAGCGAAATATAAATACGGGGGGGGGGGGGCACTCGGCATATGAAACGGGTGGGGATGCTCGTCGGAAATTTTGAATTAACCCCTAAAGGAGACCGATCTGGCGGGGCCCAAACTTTTTTTGACCCCTTAAAGAGACCATGTTAAAACACAGACATTGTATATATTTTTATACTTTTTCGCGTGCAACGTTAAACGAGACCTTCACGGCTAAATATGATGGCGTTTTGCGTGAGACCAAAATCCGAAATTCATACCCCTAAGGGAGACGACGAGCATCCCCACCCCTTTCATAAGGGTAGTCCCCCCCCCGGGATAAATAACCTAAAAAGTCGTTTTGACGACTAAATGCGATGAGTGTCAAATGCAATGAATAGTTTCCTTTAAAATGTCTATGCAAATTTATCCTTACAGTTGTTTTCTAGTGTAGTGCAGCATTAATATGATTATAAAAGGTAAACGCTTTTCGCAAACGTCCCCGTCTAAACATTATGAGCCACAGTTGACTCCCGATAACTCGAACCATCTCTAACTCGAACCTCGCGCTGACCCGAACCAAAATTGATTTCCCCTGGTTTTTGTCATACATTTACTCCAATTTTACCCTCGATAACTAGAACCTCTCACTTACTCGAAGTAATTTTTGTTCCCCCTCAGATCATTACTCTATAATTTTACCCTCGATAACTCGAACCATGTTTTGAGCTCTTTAAAAGTCGGGAAAAACAGTGTACTGGCGTCCTAAACATTGAATTTTGAATTTCCCATTGACGTGTTGTAGGCATATAGTTTACTAGTGGAGGCCGATGTTGTTTGTCACAAATCTAACATGAAACCGCTTTATTTCTCAAAACAGTAAAACGCATGCTCTATTAAGGCAATGCTTTGTTACGTTACGTTCTGATTTATAAGCTAAAAGTATGTTTCAATTTTCACTTAACATTTCTACAATATTAAATGTGATTGAAATGTTCACTGTGCAGTAAAAACTGTTCTTTTTTCTTTACTCCCAGCTAGTTTGTTCGAGCTCCCGCTAACTCGAACTCCCGATAATTCGTACTTTTTTCGATTTCCCTTGCAGGTTCGATTTATCGGGAGTCGGTTGCGTTATCGTTTTATCTGCCAGAAACAAATGACGTGTTGAGTGTTAGAGTACGACAGGTTCAACTGTTGGCAGCCTTTAACTCATTGTTACACGACCATTTTATTGAATAAAGATCACGTTCGAAACCGTGCCATATTAGTGGCACCTTTGGTGTGTGTCAAAGCAAATAATTAAGGTTAACACGACGAAGCCAAACACCAATTTTCGTGGTTTTGACATGTAAAAATTAATCAGTTAATTTAGCTTATACAGAAAGACAAGTAACGGGACGATTGACTGTTTATATCCTGAGAAAACGGCTGACAAGTTGGAACTCAACAACCGGTTTCCCGGCGAAATGACGTCTGCGGAACGACTGCAGAAATTCCATACTGATGACGTGTCACTACCCGGATCCGGGTAGTGCTTCTGATTGGTTGAAGCAAACTCCCCTTGCGGCACGACCAATTAGAAGTACTTAGAAGTACTACCCAGATCTGCGTAGTGACGCTTCATCGGTATGGAATTTCTGCAGTCGTTCCTCAGACGTCATTTCGCGGGAAAAGTGTCAGCTGTTTTTTTCAAGTTTCTATTCAAAGAGAAATTGTCTTAAAACCTTGCCAGCACCGCAAGTCCTCAGTTCCATGCACCTCTTCCCATTTATTGCTTTCCCAGTCGATCATCCTCTTTATCACCAGTTCGTAGCCCTGTAAACCAGGCGCACTGTGAGAGAGAACCAACTTCGCTTCAGCATTGAATTCCAGTTCATCACCAGTGATGGTCGAAATGTCAAGAACATTGCTGACAACTGACTCGTGCTCTTTCAGTGGGGGCGAACGTGCACTGCATTTCCATCGGTGGATCACTATTGGTGTGGGCTCAGAAACGGCGTTAGGAGGGAAGAAAATGTGAGCGCCCCCTCGTTTGAGGACCCAGTGGGTACCTCCACTGGTAAGCGTTCCTCTGCAATCAATCAATCAAACAATCATCTAACAATCCATAAATTAGCGGACCTCCTTGTTTTTTTGCATGTAAAGTTCCCCAAACACACAAACGGGTTAAAAGAAGACTGATGAGTGGTTTTCAGATGAATGCAAGATTCTTGCTTTCGATTCGACACCACATTTAAGTGGAAATTTTCCTCATTTTTGCCAAACAGAGAATAAGGTCGTTTTGCCAAGTTGAGGTTAGATAGGCATTATCAGTCAGGCATGACCCTATTCCACAAAGCAGTAAGCATAGAGCAAAGACAATTCGCTTATCGTGTGTCGTTGACCTTTCAGCAACACGGAAACTAACGAGCTTGCTTGCTTAAGATGGTAAAACGTAAAGTCTTGCCACAGGAAGATGTATTGCTATGGGATTAGTGATTGTACCCTTATACTGTTCCTTACCTGTGTATACCCTCAAACAAAATCCTATTTCCCTGAGAGACAACTCTAGTCTGCCACACAGCCGTTTTTAATCTCGTCAAGCAACGCTCCTTCCCAGGGGCGTTGCTTGACGACACTGAAAACGGCTGTGTAGCAGACTAAGACAGCTCTTGAGGCAAAATGAATGGCATGATTGGCCAGAGTGAAGGTTTCTCCTTGTCATGGTGCTCTAACAATGGTCTTAGTAAAGAAACAGTAGTATACTTACTCGTGTATCTTAACGTTTTCTAACTCGGATTCATCCAAGTCCTCCATTTGTCCCTCTAGGCCAAATTTATCAATTTGCTGTGGCATTTCCTGTTTTTCTGTAATCTCATCATCTTCAGAACTGTCCATGTTATTGTCATCGTCATCATCATCGTCATCATTGTCAAGAGACTTCTCTGTTAAATATAATGTTGAATAACCTGTTCATGTTGTCCTTCAGCGGCATGATTAAAAAAAAATATTGTTCAAATGAGGCCTTAAACTGTTGTTTAAAAAATAGAATTGGAATCTGGCCAAGCTTTCGCCGGTCAACAGCATTATCAGGTATCCCCCTCGGATATGATGCCGTTGATCGGCGAAAGCTTGGATTTAATGTTGAATGTTTATTGCATAAGCTTGCATGAAGTAAAGCTAATTTTTACTTTCTTATTTAAGATGAGAAAAAAAAAAACAGGAAAAGGATATGTTCAGTAATCATAAGGTTTGAGAGTGAAGTATCCCACAGTAACACACATGGAGGAGTACCACGTCATGCCGCAACTGCGATAAAAGCTTGCGGGCGAGTCCACATCTTTGTTGCTTTTGGTATCTGACAAAAAAGCCTTTATCGTTTAGAAAATTTTGTTTAATTTTTATGGCTTACGAGACCTCCCTTTCAGTATGCTCAAATAATAAAAATAAAATTAATAGTGGATTTAGAAATACATTTTAAAGCAAAATCAACCGTATAAAAAAAACTTGACATTTCGATAGCTTCATGTCATCACTTTTTTCTTCGATATATATTTCCACGAATCATGTTAATTTCTTTCTATTGATAATGATGACATGAAGCCATCTAAACGTCACGTTTCTTTTATTTCGCCGGTTGCTTTTTGTTTTAAAAATTAATAGTAATAATATCAATAATAACAATAATTAATAACAATAATGTTACCTGCTCCTGCGAATGGATTAAAAGGAAGCCGGAAAAACGATGCTTTCCGCTTTGATTTCAAGTCCTAAACGAAAAACAAGAACACTTTTCGTTAGAACACTTTCCCTTTCATCTAGTTTGTTCTTTCTCAAATCAGAAATACGAGTCGACGAATGTGTTCAGTTCTTGCTTACCTGTAGCTGGGTGCGGTACTTTTTTGCCTTTCTTTCATATCCAAGTGATGTAGCCAGATCCTCTAGTATTGTGAGCAAGTCAATTTTTTCTTTTTTCTCTTCTAACTCTGAACCGTTCTTTTTCCACCTTCTCTCGTAGAATCTAAAGGATTCCTTTTGATATTTCTCAAGAAGGTCTTTATTTCTAACTTCCGCACACAAACGTAACAAAGTTTGTAAGACTTTTTCTCTCTGCTCGTAAGGTAATCTCTTGGTTTCTGGGGAATTCCACGCTCCTTTGTAAAACCAAAGAGCTTCGCTTCGATATTTTCTCCTTGTCTTGACATCAGCCTCTTCCCCAAGTCGTTCATTTATAGCATCGATGATCTTCATGTTCATCTGAGAGAACTGAAACCCTTCAAAACGTTTCTCCTCGTCCCATGATCTTTGATAAAACTCCAAGACTTCCTTCTGAAATGCCTTCTTTCTCTCTTTGAGAAGCATTCGCTCGTATCCATAGATGATTCTGTCCCGTACTTCACTGTGGTTCCCTTGCCCCAGGGATTTCTCAATCTCCCATGCTTCTTCGTAATATTTTTCAGCTACATCATAATCCTTAAGACAAAGAGAAATTTCTGCCATTTGAAAAGTGCTACGCGCAGTTAATGGATGTTTGCCAAGGATATCTTTCCGAATCTGATACCCGTTATAAGCAAATGTTTTTGCCTCCTCAAACTCCTTGAGCCATGAGTGAGCGTTGGCAATGTTTCTGTTATAAAGTGCTGTGTATAGAATCCCAGTGAGTTTGAGTTCTTTGGCAAGATCTAAAGCCTCCTGATAGTATTCTATAGCCTTTCGAAAATTCATTTTGGCCTCGGGCGTCATTCTGTGTTTGCTATACTCTTGAATGGCCATAGATTCATAAGCTGTCCCAATTTGACTTCTAAAAAGAGGCAAGTCAAAGTGCTTCCTTGAACCAGAAAGCTTTTGACGCATTTCGTACGCTCTTGTGTAAAACTTGATCGCTTCCTTCGGTTTTCCCAGTTTGCTGTAGCAATTTCCAATGGCATTCAAACATCTACAAGTGCTTGTGTGATTTTTCAATTGGTCTTCGATTATTTCCAGGGAACGCCTCAAACTTTTAAGTGCTTTTGGCCAATTTCCTGCTCTGTTGAAGACTTCGCCTTCAACTAATAAACAAGAGCTTTTCGCGAGCTTGAAAAGCTCGGTCTTTTTGCTATCTCTCTGCACCCTCTTCAGCAACTTCCTCGACTCTTGAACAACTTCCGCAGCCCTATGCCACCCTTCAAGTGTGAGTACCTGCAAAGCTTCCCAGCATTGCAATTCCGCTCGAAATATACTGCCTATGGAGAAAATTGAGGAGCAGAACAATCAAAACACTTTTATCTGGACCAAGAAACCAAATAGGGGTACTTTTGTCTGGACCTGACTTGGACACTAAGGAGAACATACGAAGTATGTACCGTTGTTCCAACATCTTCAGTTCTCTTAAGAGGGGCAGATCATATATACAAGATTTGGTGTTACTTGAAATTTAACGGAAGGGTTTGTATTAGTAAGAATCCACTAGGAGTGGCGTAGTATTGCCAAACCCTAAAGCTCTCGTACATCAGTTAACACTGCCAAACATTGCCCGGCTTGGGACGGTTAGGAAGAAGTTCGACTCTCTCTCCCTCTATCAAAAACAGACACCTAGGGTTGGCCCTTGCCTTTCTTTACCCCTTTTAGCTGACAATCTATGATATAAAACGAACACATTACACGGGTTGGAAAGGTGTCTCGCGTCTTGGAGAGAGTTGACTGTAAGACTCTAAACTCCGGGTCGACATGGCCAAGTTTTATGGTGTGCACTATATTCGGAAAAACTAGCTCACCATTGCTCACACTTGGGAAAATCAATTCATATGTCTGCTGTTATATTTCACGAGCTTGTTCATCTGTTGAGCCGGTGCTTTTGGTAATAGTTTGTTCTTAAATTGGAAACTGCTCGCGATAGCATACTGAACAAAGAAAAATAGTATCTCCTTACCTTCCTTTCCATCTTCCTCTATCTTTTCAGCCCAGGTGTGAAAAATCTTTCTTCTTCGCCTCTCATCACTTATCATGGCTTCAAATAAATAACAAACCAAGACACTTTCTCGGTGTTTTTGGGAAATTAGAAGGTAGTTGGACTTCATAGAAATGTCTAGAGCAAGTTCAAAGTTGGGTTTCTGGAAATCAAAGCTGTCAAAAGCTTTTACGTAGTCTTTGTCCAAAAGGGCTTTTGCTTTTTGGTAAGCTTCCTCGAAAGCCTTGCTATTGCCAATGCTTTTAAGAAACTTTCGCATCAAGGGATGTATGTCATACAGCAGTTCTTTTGACTCTGGAACAAGGAAGACCACTTGACTGTTACGCATTCCTTCCATTCTTATTGCAGCTTCCGAAACGTTTACTCCAAGTACCTCAGCTGCTGCTTCCAATGAAAATGGGCGGCAGAAGAGTGACACCGAAACGGCAGACTCTTTAAGTGTTTTACTTGGAAGGAAAAAGAACATTTTCCTCAAACATGACAACTGTTTCTTATCGATACCTTCGTCGTTAACATCAAACATGTCCTCCTTTTCAGTTTGTTCTTCCCCAGTGTCTTGGGACTGTTCCACCGCTAACTCCTGCTCAATGGTTCCAAGGAGTCTTTCTGCATCAGTTTCCTGCCTTAAAATTGATGCCATGCCATTGAGCAGTAGTGGCTTCCCTCTGCACATCTCAACTAATCGCTCTCTCTGGCCCCCTTGAATAGCAGGTGTCCCTTGCCTTTGAAGGAGCTCCCACGAAGAGACCCTTTCCAAACCTCTCACTTCGTAATTTTCCACACCGTGACGAAATGCACTTCTAGATGTCAACAGAATCTTCAATGACGATTTCTCTCGCCCAGTTTTGTCACTGGTAAGTCGTTGGAGAAATGACACAAAATTAGTATTCCGTCTAACGGCAGCCTCATCTTTTCCACCTGAAAATTGATCAACGTTATCGAAAAGCAGCAAAATGTTCCCTTGTGCCCGTTGCCTCAGCTGCATCATTTTCAAAATAACAGGATTTGCTTCATAGCTCACTGTTGTCTCCTCCGATTCGGTTGAAAGCACTTGTAAAAGGTGGAAGTGAACGTCTTCCATTTCGTCTATTTCTCTCAAGTCCACGTTAAATTTATTCGTTTGCGTTCCTTGCCACTTATATAGCACTTCATTTGCAAGTCTTGTCTTCCCGACACCACTGGCTCCGTAGAGATTTACGACACTTGATCCACCAGTTGTTAACTTCGACATAACATTTTTTAAGTCGCTGTGTCTTCCCGTTAATTCCCTTGATGTCGCTGCCTTTGACTCTTTAACCTCTTGCAAGCGGATTGCCTTAAAAGCTTCAATCTTTTCCTTGATTTCCTCCTTCTTAGATGTTTGTGGGGTGACTACAAATTTCTCCAACAAAGTCAAATTGTCCTCCGACACAAGACCCTGATTTGCAAAAAGATGCAGGCACGAATATAAATCCTGATCTCCTTTATCCCCGAACTTTCCAATCTCAAAATTCGTTTTGATAGACGATACAGCATATTCAAGCTCTTCTGGGCTCAGATGATCGACGACATCTTTTAAAAATTTATCAAATCGAGGAGAAATCTCTCCCGTCCTCAACGGTTCTTCAAGCGACGCCATCGTGTGCTCAACGAACCGAAATCGCGACATGCATAAAGTGAGATGAATAAATTTATCCTCGTGGCCAGATGTCAGGCGGAAGTCATGATGTCTGATAATTATAAGCAGACAACAACTGATATTATTGAATTCTTTTGCATGATCGACATTCATATTTATAACTTATGTCACGCAGTCAGACTATGAATGTCAATCATGCAAAAGAATACGAAATTTTATTTTGTTACAAACGTTATGTGTAATAGCTAAAAATGCAACAATATAAAATAGCAATTCAAGTTGGTTATTTAAAATACTCTCGCACAAACTGTGCTTACGACAGGTACACTGAACGTCACGGTAATGCATCTCATAACCAGCATAATTGCGAGTTGTGTGGCACTTAATCGATGGTGTCGTGATGTGCGGTTTAACAATAGAAGGAACTACATGTTTTTACAAGTGATCGTCCCTTTTATGATCATAATTTATTACAAAAAATTTCATTTCCATTCTATTTACCTTGTTTTATCTAATCTCAAGTAAGAGACTAATAAATTGTAAATACTACCTGTCTACATCTTCATATCAGTTGTCCGGCTTACGCGTATGAGTGGGGGAGGGCAGGGAAGTAGGAGACCAGGCCCCGGTTGTTCATACGTTGGATATTGCTATCCACCGGATAACTGAATTACTATTCAGCGGATAAGTGTCAGGAAAACCAGTTACGCTCTCCGCTGGATAGTAATTTATCCGGGGCCCAGGAGAACAGGGGAGGGAGGGGTACAGGGGAGGGAGAGGAAAGAACGGGAGATGGGAGTTCTAAAAGGGTGGGAAGTGGGAGATACGGGGGGAAGTTACGTAACAAGGCTTAAAATATAGCAATCGAAAAAGGGAGAAAGCCAAGAAAAAGGGGGGTGGGAGCAGGGACTGCAAAGTAAGAGAAGCGGGAGGTTTCGACCTCAGCCTTTCAGTGTTTCAAAGTTTGTAATTTGTAATTTGTAGTTTGTAATTTTGTAACTCGTCAATTATGCACATATATTTGGATGTTTTTTAAGAAGCTGTGATTTTGTCCCCTATAAGAAGTAATTTCTTTACGACTGTTTTATACCTAGTAATTGACGGGAGTATAAAAAGAAAATGGACCATAAACCGACCTGACATAGCTCCCTTAACTTACCCTCAATATTAGCCTGTTCCAGGCTCCGAGATAGTCGGGTCCGCTGAATTGAGAAAGCACAAACACGAAAATAAAACCGGGAGGAATCTGGAGCAGGCTATGTTAATATTAGAAGACGAATTATTCGTTGAATTGTCTACAACCAGCTCTATGATTGACGCTTTCTGTTTGCCGGGTGCTGTCGTGGTACCTCTTGCACATAGTCCCACCGGGTCATCAGCGGAACAGAAGAAGTCAGAAAATAGCATTTCTGTTTGCAAACCTTTGTTGCTTTCATTAACATCAACGATCGTATTCAGTATAATTAATAAAATGTTACTTAACTGTTGACTTTTCATTTCTCAATTAACTACTAATATTTTGGCCAATTATCAGTTAACTACTCGGTTTTTTGGCCGAATATCAGTTAACTGCTAATCCCATTGGCACCCTCTTGTTACCCTGAAAACTTTGTAAAGCTCTTACACACTCCCCCTCCGTAATGCTGCCCTCACACGAAAGCTTTTGTTCATCTATGAGGCGAGGGATATTTAAACTATTCAAAAAAATTTCTGTTGCTTGCTCGTTACCCAAATTCTTACTCTTGTATAATTCTTGATGGAAACGTTTTTCCTCAGTTGAACGGATCGGTAGTGATCGAACCATTAATCAGTTCAATTTTCGCACTTTTTGTTGGTGTCTTTTCTCCAGACTGAGAAAATATTTCGTACTCTTTTAATTTACCGTGTCCACACCATCGCACCCATGCACGAATGATGATACCTTGAAGGTTTTCTTTATAAAAATGTTCCAGTTTTTCTTTCGCCGTTTTAAAATCGCTTGCATTTTTATTGGTAGGGTCACATTCAAACGTTTTCTTTGCATTGTTAAATTTATCTTGCAGTACGTTGTTCTCCTTACCTTTTTTTTCTTTTGCTTTACGTTTTGAAAACTGTACTGCATGTGCTCTAAAATTATACTTAATCCAATCCCAAATACATCTGTGACCGGACAGGTCACACCTGCCCTCTGCCGGACAGACAGGCATTTTAGCTGTAAACCTCGGCTCCCTTTGGTTGTTATTATCATCTAGAAGAGAACAGTTCATTTTCCAGTAACCCGGACCTTCAATGTTGTTTTGACTAATATGGGTTTTAATGGCTGGAATGGTTTCAATAACTGATTTCCTCGGTAACATTGTACCACCTATATATATTCAGGGGCACCCAACGAGAATATAGTTCAAAACCACTTAAACATAGCATTGTTAAACGTGTTTTAGTATTTAAACGGTGGATATGGGTATATTTTTATCCCCTATAAATTTTTCATCTGTTCAGATTTCCTAGCTGAAAGTCTAGTGATGCGAAAATTATAGGGATCAAAACTTACCTGTTCGAAAATTTCAGCCAGAAAAAAGGCTCCCGAAAATTCTAGGTGATCTTTTTAGGGTAAAAATCAGTTGAAAATGAGCAATTTTACCATTTTTTAGATGTTCGAAAATCCTAGGAGAGGCAGGCAAGCAAGAAATTTTACAACAAATGTTCCGAAAATTCTAGATCTCAAATCGTCTTCCGAAAGATATTTTTCCGAAAATTGTCGTTGGGTGCCCCTGTATATCGTTCTCGGATTATTAAGAAAGTTTGTAATGTCTTTATGTCGGTGCATAGATATTAATCAGAAAATACAATCAAACCCTTTTTTGAAAAGTATGGCAACTCCGCACGAAATTGAACTTCCGTGTGATATAATCATATCACCTCCCCATTCATTTTTCCATTGTGTTTCAGAGCCTTTCTTTGAATGAGTTTCCTGCAAAGAAGGTTAGGTCGGCCTTTTGCTTTCGACACCACGTAAAAATCGTTCGCCTGTTATACGAAACTTTTTTATGCCCCTTACATTCAGTGAGATCAATTTACAAGTGTCCAATATCACCTCGATGTAATGAGCGAAAAAAGGCGGGATTGAAGAAGCTAATCAGAAGAAGGAATGAAGTAAAAAGAGAAGAATGAAAACTGTACATTGTAAAAAGAGGTGTGAATCTTTGGTCTGAATACCTAAAGAAAAAGACAAAGGACCTGTCAATTACAGTATCCACCCGGGAGTATCCATATCAAAAGAACCGCATATCATATATAAGTTGATTAACATACTATACAAAATGCCGAAAGATCCATAAACAAAAACAACAACGAAAAAAAGAAATTACGAATACCAAACACCCAAACCAGCTTAACACTGAAACAAAAAAAGACAGCTAGGAGGGAAGAAAAAAAAAACGAAAAACCCTCACCCATGCTCCAAAAGTGAAAAACAATCGAGCCTTTCCAGAAGAAAAAAACTGCCTTTCGTAAACTTTCAATCTCACTACGTAGCTCGTGTTTACTAAAATACGCACGTTTACCTTCTTTCCTGGCTTTTTTCAATTTATCCATTTGTACTTTCCATAGTTCGTGTAACTCCTTTTGAATATCTTCAAACATCTCAAAGTTTGTGTCTTTCAGCTTCCAACCACACTTGAACACTTGTTCCCTGTCCGAATACCTAAAAAAAGCTGGCTATAATTATACGGCTACCATTTCCACTAGCACTCCTTGGTTTTCCCATTCTATGTACACGTTGGAACTCGATGCCTACCGCGTCCTCTATGCCAAGAGCGATAGAGTGACAACAAATTCCTGTTTCCCAGCGGTTTAAATTGATCTCCATAAATCCTCTTCAAATATTGCACGACATCTTCTGATTCGGCTGGAGAAAACTTCAACGATATGTCCCTAAACAAAAGGACAATTACACGATGACGATATTTGACTACAAGTACCATAATTCATTTCGGTTTTGCTTTGTCATTTAAATTTGTCAATGCCGCTGAGGATTAAAGAACAATAGCCTTAATTTGCCCAAGAAAACAACAAACTCAAGGATTCTGGTAGTTGTAGTAAAATGACGTCATCGTGCAATTGTCCTATTGATTTATGTCAGCTAAGCTTTCCACCCATTCTCGTCCCCAGAACCACTCGGCTTAATCTGTAACGAAAGACCACGTGATTAAGAAACGACGGGCGCTGGGGACGAGAATGGCTTGCCACCACACTGGACGCCATCTTGAATACGCCGCTGACCAAAGAGGCTTCAGAAAACCCGGAAGTTAACCCGGAAGTAGAGTGTAAGGCCGTATTATCAGGGAAGGGGGGGGGGGCGGTTTTATCTTCAAAGTATAGTTTTGAGATACCTTTTTCAAAGTGAAAGAAACAGCATTTTACATTTACGTCTAGTTTGTTAATAGAATATTGTTACTCTTTGTCAAGATTTGCCTGTGATTGACCATATAAATGACGTGAATTTTTGAAGGAAAATACGCCCTGGGATTTCAAAATTTAGCCGTAGGGAGTAAACCAGGGGGCGGGGGGGGTGAGATGGCCTGCCCACCCCCGGGACCGCCTTGGTGAACCCGCCGTTACCCAAAGGGGTTTCAGAAACCCGGGAGTTAAACGGGGGGGTGGTGTGAAGGCCGGTTTTATGGGGGAGGGGGGGGGGGGGCGGTTATATCTTACAAGTATAGTTATGAGATACCTTTTTACAAGTGAAAGACACAGCATTTTACATATACGTCTAGTTTGTTAATAGAATATTGTTACTCTTTGTCAAGATTTGCCTGTGAATGACCATATAAATGACGTGAATTTATGAAGGAACATACGCACTGGGATTTCAAAATGTAGCCGTCGGCAGCATTAACAGGGGTTTCTAACAAGGCTATGATTACACTAGAGGAGATTATTCTGGGTTCGTGACGAATCCGACACATTTTGGCACCGCATTCTTTTTGCTTCTTTACACGCAGATGCGTAAATCCGAAATAAAGACGTCCATGGGTTATGGCTCAGTCAACTCTAAGCGTGCCCATCCCCCCTGGGCATTTCTCATTTCGTTTTGGAAAAGCTGGAAGTGCTCCACGGTGGGGCCGGTTTGGCCCCTCAGTAGTGTTCTATTCTCTTATGATCGATTATTTCAGTTAACAGACAAATAGCCAGAGAAAACCGCCAAGATTTGGCGACGCTACAACTTGTTTCCCCGCCAAATGACGTCCGAGAAACGAGCGCAGATATTCCATACTGATGACGTGTCACTACCCAGATCTGGGTAGTGGGTCTGATTGGTTGTGCCGCGGGAGAAATTTGATTCAATCAATCAGAAGCACTACCCAGTTCTGGGTAGTGACGCGTCATCGGTATGGAATTTCTGCGCTCGTTTCTCAGACTTCAGTGAAAGGATACACTTAGTAAGATAAGAGGAGTCACAGTTCTATTATTTCCTTCCTTTTTGTTTATCTTTGAAGTAATCTTACTTAAAAAGTATTATTTTCCAAAACAGATGGCGAGACACTGATCAGCTTAACATTACATAGGTTCACTAAGTTATCAACTAAGAATTTGATTACAGGACTAACAATATTAGAGAGAAGACCTTGGAAGAGGCGCCTTCAATTCAATTCAGTTATTTTCTCACAATATTTTAGCTACTGCCAAGTTACAGTCTTTTTAGACTGTTGTTTACAGTTATAAACGTCTCTATTGAATTAATATTAAAGTTCCAGTATGATGGCCAAGTGAACCATTCGGTTTTCTAGTTGGCCATCATAAAACCAATGACGGTTTGTGTAAAATACATACAGGCGAGAAACCAGAAAGGGCAAAACTAAATAAATTGTGCGCATTAGTTCGTATATTTAAATGCTATTTTGCGCCTTATAAATAATAAATTATTATTATTAATAATTATTATAAATGGATAAATAGATAAATAGATAAATAATAGAACAGAAAAGAACAATTAATTACATTTACAGGAAATACGAAAAACGTAATATACTAGACAAGTTTTAAACGAAGTGGGTTTAGGCGATGTAGGTGATGTTTGGTTTCGACAAGTATTGCTCGGACAGTAGACAATGTTTGATTTTTATGGGGAAAAAAGCGTACTTATTCAGTTCTTTAAGGTGTTGTGGAATGCTTTTCCAAAGATCGATTGCCTTAAATGAAGTCATCTGCTTATCAGTATTCTTTCTTAAACGAGGCCTTAAAAACAACAAGATTTGACCACTGTCATGGCCTTGTCAACCACGATAAGGAAGGGCTGAAGACTCGTACTTATGTTTCAAAAGGAAAAAAGGACGAACAACAAAGACGTAAAAGGTAAATTGTCAGTTGTTCAGCCGTTCAGGTACAACCGTTTCAAACGGCTCGGTCACCCGTTCGATAGCTCTATGTTTCACCCGTTTAACGGCAATCCGTTAATGTTGGTTTTAGTGTGAATGTTCGTATCTACCGTCAAGTAACAACCTTGAGTGTCTACTCAAAGTTTATTCGAGGATTTGTCGCATTCTATCTACAAGATTTTCACACTGTCTCTCCCACTTGTACTTTTTGTCGTACATATTTCGAAGAGAAAGAGCTTTTTCTAACCGGAGTTTCCTTGGTGTCTCTCTCACATGTCTGATGGCTTCAGCCCACTTTTCAGGATCATCGGAACACACCACACACGAAGATGCGAATGGCACTTTACCGAATCCCGAATTGTTACTAACCAAAATAGGAAGGCCAGCGGACAGTGCTTCGAGAGCGGTGAGGCCAAAGCCTTCCGTTCGTGAGGGCATAATGGCGAGATCCGCCTCGCAGAAGAGTTTTTTTACTTCTTCACGACTCTCAATAAAGTCTCGCACAATAAGCTGTGTGCAAGGAATTCCACACTTGAGTAACTTATTTTTAACTTCTTCTTCTTTACCCATTGGTGCTCCGACAAACAAAAGAAGGAAGCTTTCGTCTTTTAAGCTTGCTACAGCTTTAGCAGCTACATCATATCCTTTTAGTTCAAAATCTTCCGAGTCACCCCGACCAAACACTAAGATGCGAAACCTTCCTCCCTCCTCACTGGCTTGCTCCATCTTGGCGAACTCTGGAAAGATTCCAGGTGTGATGTCTATCACGCATTTATCTTTTTTATACCGTAGCTTGGCTGAGATATCTTCCTTCAACTTTGGTCCTATGGCCACGACGATATCAGCTTCCTCACACAGGTCTACTTCAGCGCGGCGCTTTTCTCCACCTTTCTGTATTGCTGTTTCAACTTCCTTAAACATTGCAAGCTCTTCACTGGCGGTGTGTACTACATGAAGTCGTTTGCAGTTGCGCTGTTCTGCTATGATCTGAGCTGGTACTCCAAGCTTCTGGCCATGGCCTACAACAACATCAATATCAAGATCTTTAGGAGGAAAACACAATTTCATGATGGGATCAGACACGAGCTTCGCCTCTGGTGTTACAAGGCGCACATTAGATTCATTAGCTTCTTTCTTCTCCAGTTCAGTGTATTTTGACAGTAGGATAGTTACTTCAACTTCAGGCTGACGTGCAAGATTTTTTGCTAACTCTCTGTTCAGCGTAGACAATCCGCCTTTCGATGATCCCCATTCACCTCCGACTAGTGTTACCCTTAAAGGGTCTCCCGCGAAAGAGGCTGACCGTCCATCAGTAGCGCTTTTCTAAAGACGAAGAGAGAGAATTAAAAGAAGTCGACTGCCACTTGCTAATAATGGCAATTAGTATTCACCAAATCAATGGATAGTAATTTTCGAGCGTTCTGATTGGCTCCCGTAACTCGGAATATTCTTGGATATTCACTGTTTTGGGACGGGATTCAAAATGGCTTCTCGTTTCGCGACAGTTTCGAAAGATGAAATTTTAGCGGTAAATGAAGCGGCTGTACCAACAAATACCAAGAAAGAGACAAAATTTGGCTTGTCAGTGTTTACTAGTGGGTGGAAAAAAATTTTTCTTACTGACTTTGCAACAAATCATAAATATGATCCCCGAAACACTGTCAATTGAAACGTAAACAACCTTTAATTTACGAAAAGTTCCTTTTTGATTTTTATCCAACTGATTTGGTAAATACTAAAACAACTATCCCCCTCAGGGTCGGTTCATAGCGCTACATATATACCTCGACGCTTTGCGTCTCGGTATAGATCACCACTACTCACCCACCTCCCCTTCGGGGGATAGTTGTATAACATTCGTTATATTTAATCAAAATAATATACCGTAACAACCGTACTTTAACAAGGCGAGACCTATCTCCACGAGATAAAAACTATTATCGAGAGTAACCCATACCAACTTTTCAGGCGGCCGTGCAAGTTCCCACAAGTCCTGAAAAGATATCACTTAGAAATCATGAGAATTCACTGTAACGTTAAAGTTGCCGAGAACTCCCGGGAAATATTTTGCGTTAATCAGTGAACTCTGCGATTTTGGTGAAGGTAAAAAGGTAAAAAAAAAAAACATATGGCAAATACATTTTATATAACAGTTATGTTCCTCTGACAGGGGACATGGTCCTAGAGTAACAAAGCCACGATAAACGAAGGTGTCTATCTTAAGTACATTGTGTATTGTCTTAAAATAACAGACTAATGTTAAGAAACAATTCCTTAAAGGAGCTATATCACAATCTTCAGTGTTCATACTATATTTTTGTTACACTGAAAAACTAGAATTAATCAAAAACCCAAACTGGCAGTTCAGTTTTATGCATAATTATTTATTTACTCATTTTTTTATTATTAATCAATAGTGCTTTATTGTATCACATCTACATAAAAGTGATAACAAAAATACAAGAAAAAGGGAGAAAACAGAAAAGAGGGTTCAGTTTTATTTAAAATTACTGACTACTGGTCAGATGGAAATGGGATCGGAAATTATCTCCAACAGAGAAAAAAAAATTGAGCCACCTTTGAAGTATTGTGGAAAAATTACCAAACAATGATCACGAAACGTCCTTAACAATCATTGTGCTAAGAGATCCTTTTAAAAGGAAATGTGGGAGTGAGGATGTTAAGTCTAATTTTAGCCCAGTTTTAACCCAAACTGAATTGTGGAACTCAGCATGACGTTGCCTCATTAACTCAGGCCGCCTTTGTAAATCAGGTGTTTGATGTCTAAAATACCCTTGAGTGACTTACCATACGATCCGTACCCTGAGCGGGAGTTTTCAAGTGCAATCTACACAATGGAGTCTTTCTGCGTTTTAAGGAGTCGTAAAATTTCACTCGTGCTACGTTTTCCCCAGGACAAAAATCAACCTCTAACTCCGCATCGTCTGGGTCGCGTTCTAAAAACCTGTACGAAAATAAAAATAAACTACAATCATCCCTTGGGGTAAAACAATAAAAATGGTGAAGTCCTATAAGCTGACAGAAATAGAGTACAGTACAGTAGAACCAGACAGATAACATTCTTTCTAATTTAGGGCCTGTTTACCTACCCAGGTAGGTGAGTTAACCCGCTTAGGTGGGGTATTACCCGCCTCTGCACATAATCTCTCATGTTAATTTGATAACGTTTACATGGTAAGTGGGGTGTCTGCCAGACCGGGTAAACCCCTCGGCTGGGGTAAAATTTTCCCATGTAAACGTTTCAAGTTGAGGTAACCGATTCGTGTTACATCAATTTCACGGCAGAAAGCCTTTGGCGGAAGCTTTATAGCCTGTTCACAGACCCTCTATTTTCTCTTCGAAGTCTGTCAAGCGCACGAAATAAATTCAAAAACCGCGGGGGATTTATTGATCGCCAGCGCAAGGGGGTAGGGGTGGGGGAGGAAGAAAATAGACCTTCTTTATTTTTCTTTCTTGCGTTCCTCGCTCGCCAATTTTTCGAAAAGCGAAAAAGAAAAACAAAACAACGTCTGTGTACAGGCTAGAGGCTTTACACCATTAGAAGTGAAAGCCACTTTACGGAAAAGTTACAGAAAAAGCAGTGAGAGTGAAGAAGAAGAGTGTTAACCGCCAAAAAATGTCGTTTACCCGCCTTTTTTGTGTTTACATGCTTAGCGACCATTCGATAATCTTGAGAAAGTGCACCCTGGGATGGCAGAGTTGTAAGATTGCATGTAAACGCAGGTTATTTTTTCATCCCACCTGAACGAGTTTCCTCACCAACCTGGGGTCCCCCTCCTTCATGTTAACAGGCTCTGAGTTAGAGGGAATGTATCTGTCTGCCTTCCCTTGTATTATACAACGCTAGGTGAAACAAATGTAGATGGGTTGTAAAGGCACAATAGAAATAGGCTAAAAAGCAGCTTGCTTTTGTTTTTGCTATTATAAAATTTTGTTGGACAAACAACGTGTATTATGGGAGATGTGCAAATGGCGAATTAAAAATAAAATTGAACCACAACCATATATGAAGACTCACCTAAGATATATTCCCTCCATGTCTTGTTCTTCATGTAGGCGTATTCCTCCTGATACTAATACGAATGCCTTGTCGTAGCCAGGTGTCATATCTTTCTTTGAATTGCTATAAATAGGCCGCCTTATGCCTTCTTTTTTTAGCTTTTTTATCTGTTTTCCTTGAAGGTGAGCAGGGCAACACATCAGACGCAAAATTGTAGAAAGATCCGGACGAAAGTAAGCAAAAAAGACTGCCAGTCTGGGCTGAACCGAAGTGCTGCTGTTAAGTTTTTTTATGACTCTCTGTCCATGAAATCTAGATATTTTGTTTCGCCTTTTAACAAAATGCGAATACCTAGAAGAAGGACAAAGTAAAAAAATTAAATTAAAAACAACAACAACAACAATATTGAACTGACTGAATTGCTAAGACACTTGAAATGAATGAAAAAATGAGTATGTTTCATTTATGCACACAGTCGACGCCCGTTGTATTAGGACAACTAGAGATACTGCAAGTACATTTAACCCTGGAAGGTACAGACGGGAGGGAACGTTAAATGTTTCCCCGAAAGACTTTTGGATTTTTTCGAAACGACGTTGCGTCACAACCTTTCCTCTTAAGTAGCTTTTCGTTCTTTCTTTAGACGCATTTTGGAAAAATTTGGTTTGCGGAGATTACCAGATATGGCGTCAAGATAACGTGGTAATTTCAGTTTATAGACATAGTGAATAAACCAAATTTTCGTGTTTCAATCACCCGGTCACCAATGTAGTGCCACGATTCTTTTCAGAGCCTCGCAAATTCAACGACACAACCATTCATCTGCTAAACGAATATTTTCTGCCTTACCTAGAGAACCGTTCGACCTCGAAGCTAACAAACTTCCCATTAAGACTTGGAGGGTTCACAAGATCATCAGTGATATCAATCCATGTTTTTTGCTTATCATCAGAGTTCAGGAACAACACTTTGACGTCACATGTTGAGCCACAAATTGGGCGTAGATTCAAGTCCTGTTGCTCTCGAAGGGAAATTGGCAGTCGAATTGTAACAGGTTTCAAGAACTGAACACCTTCAGAGCGATTGATTCGCAGAACAGGCCCAAGAAATACACCTTCCTCTTCGAACTCTTCATTTGAAACTTCTTGCACCTGTTCCATCATGAAAATGAAAATCACCAGTTATCAAGCCAGAGAATATATAATGGGACATCATTCTCCCTTCCAGTTGTTAATTTTATAAAAGAATATATATACTATTTTAAGCCCACAAATTTACGATCGGTTTACCTAAATTGCACAAAAAACACAATTAAGATGCAAAAGATCTTACCAACTGTGCAGGATTCAACTTGCTAGTTAGCTCATCGAGACGTAGACTGTACGAAAATTTAAAACGCTGGGTTGAATACCTTTATCGTTTTTAACGACACCCAGAAATCATTTCAGGCGATTGTGTGTGGTGTTTTTTAAATAAACTAATATCAGTGACTGGGAGGTCGAAGTTTTCAGCATATTTGTCTTGGTAACCGAGACCCTGACGATTACCAAGCTGGTCCGCTCCCTCAGTTTACAAAGGAAATACGGCTTAGGCGAGAAACCAAGCCAGCCCGGCAGTTCACGTTTAACTTGTTGGTGTTACTGTTTTTTTTTTTTTGTTTTTTTTTTGCAGAGTCTTAAAAGGGTCTCACCATAAAACAAATCTACCGCCAGCACGAGAGTGAGAAAAAGAGACGGTACGCCAGCAGAGTGCTAGAAGTCGAACAAGGCTCCTTTACCCAACTGGTCTGCGCTGTCGAGCGTGAGAGGCTCACGTGGTACCGAAAAGTTCCGCTGAACATTACCGATAGCGACTTTGAAATCGACAAGGAACTAGCAATAAATTAGGATTAGAACTTATAATATTTTTTCACATTTAGGATTAGTAGGGGCATTGAAACCGATGAGGAACTATCGAGACTTTAGTATTAATACTTTTATCACATTTAAGATTTTTCTAGTATTTTTTCTCCTCCTATATATGTTAGTAACTTCTCGTACGTTGATTAAGAATACGTCCAAGAAACATTCGGGGTTATTTTAAGAAAACAGTTATATAAAAAGAAATTATTTATATTTTTGTCTTATTCTCTTCAATTTCCATGTTTTTTCTCCATTTTATATAGCTTTCCTCTCATCGACTTTGTAACAATAGATACGTGTTTTTATCTAGTAATCAATAAAGAATTTACATAATAACAATAATAATAATAATAATAATAATAATGATAATAAAAGAGAATGAAAACATTATTATTAATCAAATACTAGTTCACTTTCGTGAATTTCTTGTTAATTTTCTCCTTCTGTAAATCAATTACAATCCTGCAACTGATCCACAGATGCTCGTTAAACAGAAATCGATTTGTTGTTTCTCTGAACAAATTAGCCAATTGAGGAAAAAAACAACAAAAACAACAACAACGTGAGTGGTAAAAGTCATCAGACCTACTTTCAATTCCAAAGGGAACTCTGCATTAGGAGCAACAGCATTCTCAGGGATTGTAACTATCACACCCGGATGGTCAGGATGGCTGAATGAGCCGCCTTTGGATGTGATGATGTAAGTTGGAGAAGCCTTCAGACGACAAACTACTGCGTATGTTGAGCACTCAGTGATGTCAGCTTGAGCAAAAGGAAAGAAAAGGTCTGGTATTTCCACCTGAGAAGGGAAATCGTCCTCGATATCTGTAACCGATAAAAGATAAAGTTTCATGAGCACCTACAATGTTTCCTCCCAATGGATAGTTGATAGAGATTATAGAAAACCAGGATCAAACAAACCAGCCTGAGATCAAAAGGGAAAGATGAAACTACTGCACCACCATAAAAATATGTATGCTTTTATATTCTAATTCGCTACTCCGCTCAAACGAATATAATGTAAATATATGTAATAAGCAACCACAAATGGGGTGTGTCAACACAAGCGGGGGTGTGTCAACAAGAGGCGTGTGCGATCCTCTTTATTATGCCTTCATCAACAAATGGATGGGAATGATATAACAAACAGAATAAAAACTCGGAAATGTAAAAAATACAGTAAGAAAACCACCCTGCAAAACGATCTAAACTATGCTCGTATAAAAAATGATACCGTAAACGTGCAGAACCTTTCATATAGGAGCATGCAAAAACTACGTCTAAGAGAAACTGATAGAGCGATTTTCGTATGACCTTGAAATGAAAACGCGCGAACAAAACAGAAACAACAAGCAAAGGGAAATAAAGCGATTTGATTGGTTTATCGAACGGATACAAACACACCTGGCTTTTGGTTGGTTAAGCGAACGCTCGGCTGAAAAAACTTCAAGCCCGAAGAACTTTCTAGAAATCGCTTTGACGTCATACTGTAACACGACTGGTCAATCGAACAATGCCTTCTCCATTCTCCATATTAGGGTTTTCTTAGGCGGGAAAACGAAGAGTCCATGATTTGATCTTTTCATCCATTGGCTGATAAAACAAATAACAAACACTTACCGAAACCATTTTTCAAGGACATACGAAAATCGCTCTAACCCCTAGCCACTGCGTATTTAGTGTTGAGGGCGTAGGGACGGTCGTAAGAAGCGAATTAATATTAATGACAATAACTCAAATATATATAGCCTACCGCTAATGAAGCAATTGTAACAGCATACCATGTAACACCCCACAGAAAGGGTTACATAACCCATGATAAATACATTGGTTCAGTGTTAAACGCCTTTGTTTTAACGTATGATAATGCATAACAACATACATGTACTGTTACTTGAATCATACAACTACTACTAGTCCTTAGGAGGAGTTAACTCAAACCCTTACTGCTTCTTTTGACTCCAAAAAGGAGCTATTTTAATCCAAAGCAAGAATGAAATAACTCTTTTGGCAATAAGAGTTATTTTAACTCCAGATTCGGGGTAAATAGGCAGTTAAGACAATTCCCATAAGGGACTGTTCTACATCTGTTATCTTTGCTCTACAAATGTAAAAAAGCTTGAAGTTAAACTTCCTTAAACTTGAACAACTGATAAATTTAAACCGCGAAATCTACACAGATTAGGAGCATAGTAGTTGCGTAGACTACACCCTGAGTTTTAAAAGGTTTTCATGCAAAAGATAAACTGATAATCCGCCACGCGTTATTCTATTGTATAAAGAGACGTTTTTATACCTTCAAGCGAACGTATGTCCTTGGTTCCATCCAGGTCTTCCCATTTATTCGTCTCCTTATCAGTTAGCTGTTTTATCACCAGCTCATAGCCCATTAGGTTTGTTGCACTGTGAGACAGCGACAGCTTCACCTTGGTGTTAAATTTTAGACCTTGGCTATCCATGGGGGATAGTTCAATAACATTGCTAGTAATGGCCTCGTGCTCCTCCAAAGGGGGTGAACAGACACTGTTTTTCCATCTTTGGACCATTATTGGAGTGGGTTCAGACAAAGCATTAGGAGGGAACTTCAGGTGAACACCAAGTTGCTTGATGGGCCAGTTGGTATCTTCACTCGTTACTATTCGTCTGCAATTACAAAATATCTCATCAGTTGTTGTTGTTGTTGTTTTCGTTTTTAAAACAGTGCCTTTTATTAAATGCGGGCATGCTATTTTGCCACAATCGATTTTCACATAGGACTGAAAACAGTCTAGCTCTTGATTTTCTGTTCCTTTCGAGGAGGTTTTTATCGCCCTACTATCCCCTGTTTTCAGGGTTTTTTGTTTGTTTGTCTATTGCTTTTGTTTCTTAGCGTGCTTCCACCGAAGTCCAATGGTTTGGGGATTTGTAGCTACATCAGGATTGCGAGTACACAGCACCATGAGAACACGGATGTGTCTTACCAATATAGCACAAAACTTACTCTTTCGAAATTAGCACTCTTGATCCTTTGTTCTTCTTAGCGTTATTTTTCTATTCATTTCTTTAAGTTATTATATCTTTATTGTAGCCATGATCCCCTAGTTCTCCCCACAACTATTTAATGTAAAATGTCTTACACCCTGTCCCCGCCTATAATAACACCATGCTAATTTGAAGGGGACAGGCATACTTTGCATTTGCTGCCGTTGTTTTGAATCAGCAAGAGACTCTCATTAAACAAACTGTTTTTCATTTTCATTTCACCATGTTCCTACCGACATATGAACATACAACCAGCTTTCTCCTCCACATGAGACAGCGCTGCAATAACTCCTTTTACACTTTTTTCATTACCTAAACTCAACTTCTCTTTCTGATCCTTCTTGATGTATCGTCTTCCCGGATTCTACGTCAAAGACTTGTTCAAGATCCTCCTCAGATTCGGTTTCACTACCAGACTGGGGGACTATTTGAACTTCTTGTGCTCCAATCAACTCGGTCATTTGCTCGGGCGCCACTGCACCTTTTTCTGGTTCCTCTGTAGTGACTCCTCGGTATTCTACTTCAGTGCCCTGCAAAGGCTTAGCTTCGATTCCTTCCTCAGCTTTTACCTCATACACTACTTTCGCAGCATACGATTCGGACTGGGATTTGGATCGTCCGAATAACAACTTCTGTGCAGCATAAAAACGGGGAGGCTTCAATTCTACGGATGTGGAGAGAACAGATCAAATATACGACTTAATTAAAGTGAAACATTAGCCTGTAATTCAGAGAACGAGTGAAGAGAATTGCTCACAGTCTCCCCGCAGCGATTTTGGGTCTCTTCGCACCTTCCCGACTAAGGTCGACCTGACAAAAAGTTCAACATTGCCTATCGTGTTTGCTAAATAAAATGTGTAGGAATCCAAACTAAAACAAAACTTAGTGGGCAGAATTCGAACTCGTGTCACTTTTGCGGACCAAAAACTTAGGCGACGATCACACAAGTCCTTTTTAAGTAAAACCAATTTAACCCAGCGTTTTAAAATGGAAATAGTGACAAAGTAAAAATCCTGTGAAGTCACTCGGGAAAAAATTAATGCGGACCAAAGTGAGCTTCGAGAAAATCTTTTCTTCAATGGCCGTCTCACGTGATGTGGTATCAACTGCGTGTTCACATCGTTTCCATGAGAACCCATCCGGTGTAATTGTGCACATTTGTGACTTACACTTTGGAATTTACGAAAGGTATACGTATTGTTTGAGGCTACCTAGAAGCCCGACTCATAATAGCTCCTAAGCAAAAATCTTAAACGATACAATAATGAAATCAGAAGCCTCGAATTTTATAGATGTCCTTTGCTATGATTACACGGTACAGGGATCATGGCACCGACGCGAACAATTTTTCCAACGCAGAGCTCAGAAAGTCCACGTGCCCGAACATAAAAAAAAACTGTTTCGATAGGCGTTTGTGTCGTACTGCCTCAAAAAGTAACGTGTTAAGGCCTACATCAGATAAATATGGATCACGTTGAGATCAGCTTGAGCTATTCAGCTTTTTAAAAAATAATGAAAGCACGAGTAAATGCAAGATAAACTTAGGCATCACATTATTCTTATCATCTTTTTACGTAAGTTTTACCGCATCTTATATGCAACGCGAAAAGGTCATCAGAATGTTTTATCGTACTTTGGTGATCATTGTACCGTTAAACTGATAACAAAACACCATATAACAACAAGGAGTAGTAACGATGGGATGATGGCGAGGATTATTGAAGATGGCGATGATGATGACGATGATCATAGTCACGACACGGATGATGAAAACAATCATTCATGTAATAATATGGGGCTGATGATAATGTCGTCAATAATTAGTATAGGTAATAGCATGATTTGTAGTGATATTTGGCATAAATACCACGAGTGATATTTCGAAATTGTTATACGTAATTTCACGAGCCGTTAGGCGAGTGAAATTTGAGAAAATTTTGAAATATCACCAGTGGTATTTATGCCAAATATCACGTACAGATCATGCTATTAATTGTTTATACCACACCCGCAAAAGGTTTGTAATTTTCACATGTAGGTATTTCAAATTTAGCTGAAATACCACTGCTCTAAGCCAATCAAATTGCAGAAATTTCTCAAGTAGTGGTATAAAGAGGGAAACAAAGGTCGTTAAAATAATAAGGGCAATCGCTATTTGGAAAATTCGATGAAAATTATGAAGAATGAAGAATGTACTACTGTAGGTTACCTTTAGATGTCTCCTGGGCGCTTGGTTCTTTTTTCCCTTTCGAAAACTTCTCTTTCAGAAACTAATGAAAAATTAATCAATTAATTAATTATTATAATTGAATTAAGCCAAAAATACATTAACAAAAACTGATTTTGTAGGGCTGATACAATTCGTGGTAAACCACAAGTGGACTTACTGCATTGTGGCCAACAAGGTTAAGAATCCCAACTAACAGAAGTCAAACCAATTCTCGGGGCCTCCAAGCCCTAATCGCTCAGCCAAGCTGCTTCCAATGCATAAAGGAACAAGAGACTATTGCGGACATAGGGAAGTGATACACACGAATTTGGCTTAAACACCTGACTGAGTTTTTTCGTATAATTTTGCCCCCAAGAAACTGGCACAACTGGCTAGCCCTTTGTCATTTAGCATACAAACATACTTGATTTTGCCAGAAGTATAAAAATAAATTGTTCCATTTACTTAGAATTTTGTGTTTAAAAAATACCTGCATAAATTTTGGAGAATCCACTGGATGGCTGGTCTGTTTCCGCATGCCATCATAGAACCATCGCGCTTCTCTCTCGTACTTGTCTCTTTCAGGTTTGTCTTCCTTTTTATTACCAAGAAGATCCCGAATTGTATCAATGATCTCCTTGTTGTACTCGGTAAAGTCGAACTTTTTGGACCGTTTCTGCTCTTCCCAAAAACGCTTACAAAACTGCAAAGCGTCCTGCGTAAATTCATTTCTTTTAGTCTTGCCTTTCCTTAGTTCCTTATACAAGTCAAAGACTCCATTAATGATGAGTTTCCACACCACACTATGGTTACCCGCATCCAATGATTTCTCCATTTCCCAAGCATCTAAAAAATAATCTAAGGCTTTGTGGAAAGCCTCTAAGTTTGCTTGAATGAGCCCTTGTTGGAAAATGCTTCGCACTGTATCCGGATGTTTTCCAAGGCATTGTTCTCTGATGTGGTATGCTTTCTCTGCCGGCTCGACAGCATCTTGGTACTTGCCTTGCCGAATGTAAACACTAGCAAGATTTCGACGGAAAAGTGCTTCATCCTCGTTACCTGAGATTTTAAGTCGTTTCAAAAGATCCAGTGCCTCAATGTAACACTTTGCTGCCTCTTCATACTTCCCTTTATCCTCGTAAACTGTGCCAATTTGATTCTTGTATACTGGCATGTCGTAATGATCTTCAGAACCAGACAATTCCTTCCGCATGTTCAGTGCAATGTTGTAGAGATCTAGGGCTTTCTCTGGCTCGTTGTTTCCGTAATAACAGTTGCCAAGAGCGTTATAACACCTGGCAACATTGGTATCAAGTTTTAACAGATCCTCCATAATTTCCAAAGAAGACTGTAAGGATTCGATTGCGTTCTTGTAGTCTTTGTTCCGGTAATAAATTTCTCCCTCAATGTACAAGAAAAGCCCTTTACTCAGTTTGAAAGATTCTGTACATTGATCTTCAACTTGTTCCAATGACGAGGATGCCTGCTGCAACACTTCAAAACCTTTGTCAGTACCATGAGCCTCTGAAACAAGCCTAGCTTCCCAACATCGTAACTGAGCGCGAAATAAGGAACCTGTGGGCAGAAGAAACAGTTAGAAACAAAATAATATAATATAAAATTGCAAGTTAACATCCTTGAATATCGACAGTTGACTCAGTGATAAAGTTCTACAAGCCACAGTAACACTGATACAAACGCAAAATGGATGACTGATGACTGATCATTTAATCCTCGTAAAAGTCACAAAAATTCAAAAGCTTAGAGTCCATTATGTTACAGTTTAAGTATTAGTCATGGGATATCTTGTATACCAAGTAACTTACGATGAAAATACATCTGTCTTGAAGAAACAAGCCTTAATCAACTTGAAAAAATATAATTATACACTTCCACCGCTTTTTCTGCGGATGTATATATATTTATTATTTATATATTTATTTATTTATTTGTTGAAAAAGTAAAATCATCGTTAAAAACGCATACATTGTATTTTAATTGAGCACAAAAACAGTCTTTTGCACCGAAGTACTCACAGAGAACAGAGTGTGTTGATAATTCAGTCAGAAGCTTAAGGGGTAGTATCTATTACACTATACTCTACATAGTGTACATGAGGGAACCAGCCCCAAAACTCATTCATTCAGTGACTGGCAATCAGTCGTTAAGGAGTTTCAAAAAGAGCTTTTAATTGATGGATCATCTACTCAAGTAACTTTTTTTTTTCTTTTTGGGCGAGGATTTTCCGAAGCATTGTCTTATATACAATTCTTAAAGTTTTCTTAAATGTGTAATTCATTACATAAAACTATCAGATTTTATTAGATATCATAATTATACAGCTGATTCAATAAAGGTTGCTTTGGGCATTGGGAAGCTGTAGCTTGGTGGTCTTTCAAGTAAATCATTGCATTGCTCAATATGCCCAAATGCCCAATGCCCAATTTACCAATGACCAATAATTACCAAAGCAACCTCTTTCAGTTTAGCTGTATATTGTTAACAGTACTAGTTGTTCTTAGTTCAATGATTTTATATTATTCTAAACTTATAGCATACATAGAGAATACTTCATGGAAAGTGCTGGCGTACGGTATTTACGCACGAGTTGTTGACGTATCAGAAATCGAACGAGTGAGCGCAGCGAACGAGTAAGATTTCTGATACAAAAACAACGAGTGCATAAATACCGTACGCCAGCACTTTCCATGTGGTATTGTGTTTATTATATACATACTGAGACATTCATCATTTTGGCAACCTTTTTATTTTAAATCTTTCAAAATGCTAAAATTTGCTGCTACACAACCGCAAAATGACAACGAAAACGAAGTATCAGCTTTTTAGTAAAAACGTTTGTTAACATAAATGACGGTAAGGATATGAGGTAATCCAAGAACTATAAGTAATCTTAACTGTTTGTTTTCAATGCACAATTGAAAATGAGTGAATTTAAGTAAATGGCCGGTTTCAATATAAGCTTAAGCTTAAATGAAACGCAAAGTAGCTCCGACAAAAAGCACAACAAAAGCTTACGTCTCGTTCTGTTTTTCGCTTTCCGCTGTTGTTTCGCCGGCTCTCTACCGTTTTCTTTACCGACAGTGAAACAAACGAAACTATTCCACTCCATTTCCGAAATGTTTTTCACTTTTTTAGCGAGAAAAACTCTTTGAGTAAAACTTTTCTCGTTGAATGTCTGCGAAGCGGCGCTGCAAGCTGCAATAAAAGGCGGGAATTTTGGCGCGAAACCCACACACCTCTGTGGCTTCTGATTGGACGTATCATTTTTCTCACACGTGAGAAAACATTGTTCGCGATTCTGATTGGACGTATCATTTTTTTCACATGTGAAAACCATCGTTCGCTCCTCTGATTGGCTAGAACTAATTTGCGTACGAAAATTTACGACATAGCTTTTTGGTGAGTATTTCTCAGTATGTATATAATAGCGAAGCGAACGAGTGAGATATTGTTCTTGCCACGAGAACATAAAATTCATATCTTCGAGCCAACATGTAATGTTCTTTTTATTATATGGAGAAACCAATTCAACAAAAGCAAAAGGCGGGAATCGTGACGTCATTGAACGATACGAAACTCACAAAGGTGACATACGGAAAATACGCAACTCGGGTCCCGGATGAAGTGGCATATGGAATCTACGAGTGGTTTAGTTCCCAGTAAAACACTCTCCTCCATATAATAAATATATATATTTATTATATAGACATGAGTGTTTTACTGGAAAATATGCCACTCGTAAAATTCATAAAAACTACATCCGGACCCGCGTGGTTTATTTTCCATAATCTCACAAGTGAGATTATTGATGACGTAATTTTGGTCATTTCTCTCTGTTATTTTATCAATATCATTTTGTCTATATAATAAAAAGCACATTACACGGCGGCTTGAAGATATGAATTTTATTTTCTCGTGGCAAAAACAATATTTAACTCACTCGCTGCGCTCGTCCGTAAAATATTGTTTTGCCACTCGAAAATAAAATCTTTGCGCCACCGTGTAATATCCTCTATATATAAATCTTGGGGGCTGCCCTATTATGGGGATATAGTTCCTCTCTGGTGACACCCTTTTGTCTTATTATTTTTACAATAAAGTTATTATAAATATATAAAATTAATAAAATCCAACATAAAAATACAACTGTAACATACCGGACTTTCCATCATCTTTACACATATCTGCCCAGGAATGAAACAGCTTGAGTCTTTTCTTTGTAGACAGCATGGCAGTTAAAAGGGATGCAATCAATGCATTTTCTTGGTATCCACCCGGAACACTGAAGTACTCTGGTAGCAAGGAGATGTCAATTGCAAACTCATAATTTGGGCGATCACTCGCAAAGTCATTAAATGCTTTGACATAGTTAGACTCAATGAATCCAGCAATTTTTGTCATCTTTGACATAAAGTGCTCATGAAATCGCCTCTGTGCCTCAGAGTAAGATTCACAGAACTCTGCCTCACATTTAATGCTTTCAGCATACTTTCGTAATAGTGGATGAATATCATACATCAACTGCTTGACATCAACTACATGTTGAATAATTTCACAGGCTACCAGTCCCTCTAGCTGCGCTATGGCTTCTGGTATACTGATGCCAAGAATTTTGGCCGCCGTGGAAGGAGAGAAAGGTCCATGAAACAATGACACTGATACAGCAGACACTCTCAAACTATCAGAGGGGAGAGTGTTGAACATTTCTCTGATAATTGACATCTGACTTTTGTCAATTCCTTGTTCTTCAAAATCAAAAGGTTGCTCTTCACTTTTCTCTGTTGGGTTTGTCTTAAAAGAAGCTTGAACGTTCGTTTGACAGGTCATCTCTGTTACACTAATCAAATCATTTGGCGATTTTCTTCTTTGTCTCAAAATTGCAGCTATTCCTTTCAATATCAACGGAACTCCTTTGCAGATGCCAAGAAGCTTCTCTCTTTGCCAAACATCAACATTTGCAATTTTTCGTGGAACAGATGTGGGAAGCAGAAGATTCTCTGAAAATGACTTTTCAAGAGGTTGCAAGTTATAATCAGTCACAGTCTCTGAATCTTTAAACTGACACCTCGAGGTCAAAAGGATGTTTAACGTTCCTGCCTTGCCCTGGAATACTGAAAGCTTTTTTAGAAATTGTATGAACTGTTTTCTTAAGTTCCTGTCCGCTTCTTCTTGTCCCTCTATGAGCTGCTCGACATTGTCAAGAAGAAAAAGAATAGACTGGCTTTTGCTTTCGTTTTCAATATGCTCATGAATTTTTCCAACGACATAATTCATCTCTAAAAACCCAACAGGGACACTTAGGTTCAGAGTACCCATAATGTTAAAAAATACTGCTCTCATGTCTTTAGCTTCTCTTAAATCAAAGACATAATTCTTTCCGGCCCATTTATCACAAATGTTCCTGGCAAGTGTTGTCTTCCCCACTCCAGCTGATCCATACAAATTAACAACGGCATTTTGTTTACTTTTAAGGATTTCTATGGTTTTCTTAACGTCACCACTTCTTCCCCGCAATTCCATCTTTGTTTTGGTATGTGGCGATCTAGAAGCCTTGAAGTTCTCAATCCTCTTGTAAATTTCATGTTTGTTGCTTGATTTGTTTGCGACAAACTCGTCGAGCAGTGTCAGGTTCGAACTCGAAACATAACCGCATTCATGCAAACGATCTAAACATGATGGCAAATCTTGATTTCCCAGCGATTTGAATGGCTGTCCGTAAACCTTCTTCAAAGATTGCACGACATCTTCTGATTCAGTTGAAGAAAACTTCAAGGATATGTCCCTAAAAAGTTGATTTAACTCTGATAAGTTTTCCACTACATAAGACGCCATCTTTGAACATGCCGCTGACTAAAGATTTAAAGAACAACCCGGAAGTAGAGCGGAAGTGTCCGTAATCTTGTAGCCAGATCTCCCACGGCTATAAGATAAGGTGAGATCTGGGTACGAGATTAAATTAATTAAAAGTATTAGTTGGTGCCTTATAATTTCCATTTCGTCAAACTGATTTCCGAGAAAAAAAATAGGTCGAAATACAAATGGAACGCTTCAGTGATGTTTGTACCTTGGTAGGATTTCGAAATTTAAATAAGAAAGAAAAAAAAAGTGAAATTCTGATACAGTTTTTGTACAAGAGCAAAAATGCCATCATAAAAATGACCTGATAGTTACTCCAGCAGGGGCGGGTAGGAGCTGCTCGTAAGGTCTCTCCTGATTGGTCGCAGGAAACAATGGATGTCATTCTTTCAATTGTTTCAGTATTGTTTGAGTCAAGGTGAGGTGCCATTGGTGACTTCTCTTCCGAGCAGCTGCTACAACTTAATGAGTCAAATAACTAAATAAGTCAAATAATGACTGCGAATTTTATATCCCTGGCTAGGAGATAATTCGAAGAGTTAGACTTAGCGATGGTGGCGGGGAGTATGCTTCTATGTTGAAACGTCAATCAATTTTTCTCTCTGCACTGATCTCAAGATTGATGATCTAGAAAATTTTTGGATTGAAATCCGCAGACCTCCTTTTAAACCGCTTATCGTTGTCACTTGATACAGGTCACCTAATTCTCCTGTTAGGATCTACTCGCATTTAGAAACACTAATTCGGCGAATTGATTTAACTAATTTTGAATTTTACCTATTAGGAGACATGACCTCCATGGTCTCCACCAAGTATGACAATGATGTTCGTCAAATAACAAACTTGCGGACATATACCGCCTCCACCAACTTATTAAAGAACCTACTCGTATAACAGACAAATCATCTGCTCTAATTGACACAAATTGCCCGGAGAGGGTTGTCTGTTTTGGAAAGTGATCACAGCCTTGTCTATGTTTATCGTAAAATAACAACTGATTTCTTCTAAGGGCCATAATTCATAAGCCCCCCCCCCCCCCCCCCCCCCCCCCCCCTCCCCCCCCCCCCCCCCCCATACACCGCGCGGGCCGGGCCCTCAAAAATTTTTTTTTCCTCTTGGGGTTTTCTTTTTTCTTTAAAAAAAAGGGGGAGGGGGGGGCCTCCCTTCTCCCCCCCCCCCACCGGTCCCCCCCCCCCCCTCCATCTTCTCACCCTTTTTTTTACCTCTATTTTCTTTTATTAGTTTGCTTTTCAGTTAGGTGTCGCCACGTGGGTGGTTTTGTTTTTGTAACTGAATCCAATTGGTTTTATTGTTTTGCGAAAAAAAAACCTCCATTCGCTAATAGGACCAAAGCCAATTACGACCCCCCCCCCCCCTCCCCCACCAGCTCTTTCCGATCCAGACCTTCAGATAAGCGGGCTGGCCGGTCTCTAAAAAATTTTTTTCGGCCCTTGGGGCTTCAGTTTGAACTAAAAATAAGGGGAGGCCGGGCGCCTTCCTTGGATCCGCCACTGTCCAGTCTGCCCACCGCCTTTCAATCATTCATCAACTTTTTACCCATTTTTTATTCTTGCATTGCTGCTTCTTTTAGTAATCTCAGCGCAATCATAGACAACTGCTTTGTATCTTTTTCTTCAACTTGTATTTTGCTGTTAAAAAACAACCGCCCCCCCCCCCTCCTCCCCACCAAGAAAAAAAATATAAATAAATAAAAAATAAATAAAACAGGTCTACGAGACATTATCCATGTAAAATGTTATAGCAACAGATTGATTTGAATAATTTAACGAATTTTTTTTTATCTTTTCTACGGACCATCTTGACTATTATTTTCTTTAATCTGCAATTTTCATGTGTAAAAAAACCTAAACTTGCCTTAAAATCAGAAGTGTTAAATTAGCACCTATACATACTGATATGTACATTCGATATAAAAATCAATAAATAGATTACTTTTGTCAAAAAGGTATAAGAGGTCTTGTTTCGATTAAAACCCATCTAGAAAACTAGCCCTCTTCATTTAATTTATAATTGAAGCAAATCTTCTTGGATTATTGATTAATCGTTAATTAATGTATTATTCTTTACACCGACTAAATACAGAACGACCGAAAGGTTGCCAAAATGCGTGAAGTGATAATTTACAAATGGGATAATTTCCAATTGAAACTAAAACTGTTATCAGTTTTTCACCAGTCGACAGTCAGCGTTGGATTTGGTTGAAAGGCCAGAAGAAGCAGAGTTTCCTACTTTTTCTTGTCAAAGCTTGGAGTGCTCTTTGTTTTTATTTGTTTGTCAGCTTCCTTCTATGTTTACAGTATCAGACTTTTTAAACAATGACACCCGGGAAAAATCAGTACTACATGCGAACAATGGCCGTGTTTAAGTACCATCGATCAAAATGATTACCGTCGTTGTCGTTATCATCATTATTATTCATCCGATTTGTCCAGGACTACTGATGAGAACAAAGATTCATCTATTTACGCGTCCTTTCTCCTCCTTCTATCTACGCAAGCCAAACAGTTTGCATCCTACAAGAACGCCAAACACTTAAATATATAGTCTTCGAGTATATATTAATAATAACCAAAGGTTACGGAGTGCGGGCAGCAACGATCGAAGGACCAAACGCAGTAAAAGGCTTGAACTCCAACGCTGTGCTTTTGCATAAGTTTCACTTGACAGATGGTTAAGGTGGCTGAACACAGTTTTGGCAGTTTGTAAGTGTATGTCATTTGCCAAATCATGGCAAGAGAAAGGTTGCAGCCCACAACCTGAAACTTGGAGAGTGAAAAATATACTGATGAAAGATTTTGATTGACAGGTAAAATTTGACGTTTTCGTAGTTTCCATGGCAACATTAACGATTGAATACAACCTCGCTCGTTAGATTTTCTTATAAACTTGCACACAGCTTAGTATAATTAATCATTACCATTTGAAACTTATTTGACCAAATTTTAACAGACGGGTTTGTAGATAATCAGTAATATAATTGTACTGTAATTATTAAATGTGTCACAAAATTCGTCTGTTCAACTTCCATTTTAAAATTCTCATTACTTAAAATACGATAAGGGTAAAAATTCTGCCAAATATCACAAAATTTTAAATGACTAAATTTTGAGAAATCGTCTTCTGTGAACCATTGCTTTTTCCCAACCATGTTTGTCCGTCTAATTTAAAACACGCGCCGTCACGCGAGTCACCGCTGTCCACTCGCAAAACTGTGCATGCGACGCATGCGTAATAACAACCTGGAGATTAGGATTGCGGGCTCCTCTTGTCGCCCGCAATAACGCCTTGCGAGACTCTTATGGAAGTGAAAGAGTTAACAGAAAAGAAAAGAAGGTCTGATAGAATTCTAAGGCTACGTTGACAATGCCACGGACGAATTTTCGAGCGGTTGAAAGTACGTGCGTTTAGGTGTTCCGTTCACACGGACGCTTAGCCGTACAAAGTTCCGTGTGAACAGAGCGAAAGTAACATTAATCAGGGGTTAAGAGATCTAAACATTCCATTATGTCATTGTTCACTTCCGCTTTTCCTATTCTTGTTAGTGCGATCATGAGTTTCCTAACGGTCGCACTCTCTCCTTCTCGCTTGCACCAGGTTTGGAGTGTTACATAGCAGCGTTCCTCGTCATCGCTTTCTTTTTCTTCCTCTGATATATTGTTAATTGTTCCTTCTTTAAGCTTAAGTTCCCTTGCTAGTTTCCTCCACGATGATCCCACTTTTTGTGACACTTTTTTGATCACCACAGTTTCTTTTTTTAAGGGCACGATAACCTTCCTTCGTGCTATCAAAAAAAAGAAAAAAAACAACAACAGGAAGGATGGACAAATGTTAGAGCATGATTGCGACAAGGAAAATAGACAGTTCGCGACCTCGATCCCAGTCTCTTGTCCTACTCGTCCTTAGGAGGGACCCTGGGGACGAGGTTGGACAGTTCTCAGGTCTCAGTGCACCGGGGTTAACGTTATAAGAGTGTCTGTCCGCATAAACCGTGTCCGTATTAAGTGGGGTAGTCTTAGAGAAAATGTATGAGCATTTCTCGGGGGCAAACAAAAGTGTCCGTTACAGACGGGTGTCAGTATCAAGCGGGTGTCCGTCGAGCGGCGTACCACTGTAACTGAGTTCTATACATGTTACTAAAACGAGGAGGGGGAACACGGAAATGAATAGTGGGAAAAAATCAGGTAATACGGTTAGGTTTAAGATCGGTTTTGTTCCCATTTTTTATTTTCCTCTTTTTCCCTAACGTCCCTTTAACCTCAGTATATAATTTCCGTCTAGCAAACTGTACCTTCCCGAAGACGTTTAACTACATGTACAGATCCTTCTTCGTTCATCTCCTCGTGCATTTTCACAATGGCGTCGAAACAGCCATCTTGGTGTTCAGAGTCGAGTTCTGCGAAATTCTCCAAGAAACTCTTTAGTACTTGGGAAGGTGTTCGATTTCCAGACGTTAAGCGGGTAAAATGTTCTTGATATAATTCATTTGATACAAAACCTCGACACGCTGCCAGAACATATCCCACGTCAGCATCCAGTAAGTGTGCGTCATCCAAAGGCACGCCAAAAAATTCTACTGGAGTTTTCTGTAAAGAAAAAGGTTGGGGAAAGGTCGAATTTTGTATAAATCCTCTGTTGGTAGCGTACACAATACAACGGTTCATAATTCCCTGGTGTTTAATGTTCAGCACGTTGAGAAATAGGCGTCAAACTGATCGTGTTTTAACAAACTATAATTCTGGTTTCAAAACTAGTTATTGACAAACAGCTCTTTTCGTACACCCAGTATCGGCAATTAATATAGGGATGTAATTTCCATCTAATGGGGAGAATTTATTAGAGTATTTTCTCGCAATAGGGAACAATGGTATATCAGCACGTACAAGAACGAGTCTGTGTAGACATGATTTGAAAAACCTAACTTTAAGAATAAGCATTCCTTTAAGCCTACAGAGAAAGGTATTGCGTAGAGTGCTCTGCAGGTGCCGGTATATTTAAGGGTGATAGGGGAAATATCAATGATGCGCACGCGCACTAGAAAAATCTTAGCAAAACAACTAATCAGCGCCTGCTACGTAGGCTAAGTATGGAGCTCTTAAATTTTCGAAGTAATAAAGGCTTTGATATAAAAATACTTCTGGACGGCGTTCTTCGGAGCCCTGGGAAAAGAGAGAGAAGCTATAATCACAACCTCGTTCCCAGGGTTCTCGGAGCGCTCTGGGGGCCGTGTAGCAAAGGACCCTGGTAACGAGGTTGCTCTAATCCTCAGTCAACCGCAGCAAACAGAGCAGTGCCATACCAGTTGTCATAGTAACAAACACGTGATTTGGGCAAATCCCTGTTGGTTTGACTTACCTTGTGATCAACTTTCAATGAAGACATCCTAAAGTTTAGTTTAGACAGCAGGTTTTTCGCTTTAGGATCCGGGCTGCTGCGAAACTCCACATGGGATAGAACTTGGTCGCTTATCAAACGAACTTGCAGTTGATCGGTGTAGCGGAGGTTGCTTTCAAACCTGAATATAAATATAAAAGTTATCTATATTAATACCCTTAGCCCTTAGATTTAAGAGGCAATTCACACCCTACAGAGGAACAAGTTTAGAAGGCTGCAGACTCCCTTGAGCGAAGCAACAATGGTTTGCGCCACACCAAGAAACACCCAGAAAAGCTGTCTAGTGAGAAAAAACGCCTTCTAACTTACATCAGGTGAAAATCGTCCATGTTTTCTTCATCTACTGCAATTATTCCACCAGACACAAATACAAATGCTTTGTCACGCCCAGGTATCATCTTCTTCCGTGAATTTCCCTCACTCGGTACCACGTTTCTTTTGTCCAGCTCTTGTATTATTCCCTCTCTCAAGTGAGCTGGACAACAGATAAGATGCAGAACATCTTGCGAATGGGCACGATCATGTTCCTCAAAGTAAGCGAAGAAAACGGCTAGTATTGGCTGGGTCCAAATTAGGCTTGACATGTAACTAATTACTCCAGAAACACTGAATTCCTCTCTATACCATTCAAAAACGCAAGTGTATCTAAAAGAGAGATATCAAACAGTAATCACTGCATTGCTCAAGATATCTGTTGATACTTCGGGAAAAACACCCCTCTGGAATTAAGGGAAAAGATGTAACTTCACTACAGCAAGACGTTATTACAATGACCAAGTAAAAATGGTCCATTTAATACTACGAAAACACAAATAAACATCAACTACACTAGGAACGCAATACATTTTCAGACAAAGAAAGAAACAAACAAACAAATAAACAAACAAAAACAATGAAACTTTACAAGTATAGTGGTTTAAAGAGCAATAATAAGCACGTGGCGAATCAACGAACGTTTAAAAGACTGGACAAAAACAACACTTTTAATGCACTTTAACTTGCATATAAAATTAAGCTATTATTTCAGTTCACAAAGAAATGAGCAAAAATGACAAAAACAGTGAGGAAAACAACGTTCGGAATTCCTCTTACCCAGAGAAACGTTCAACCTGGAACGTAACAAATGTCCCGTCAAAATCTACAGGACTTCTAAGATCATCAGTAATTTCCATCCATTCTTTATTTTCGCCATCCGAGTTTAAGAACAATACTCTGACACGGCATGTCGAGGGGTCAGGAGTTCCTTCCTGGTCGCTTTGTAGCGATACTGGCAACTGAATTGTGACGGGCTTCAAGAATTCAACGAGTTGAGGGCAGGTTATACGCAGTACAGGGCCAAGAAACAGGTCCTGCTCCTCGAATTCTTCAGCTGGAACTTCGTGCACCTAGACGAATAAGACAACAGAACTACAAAAATTTAAATCCCTAGTGTGACGTCTGATTCATATTGCTAATATTTTCTTCGAGATTTGACAACTTGGCTAGATTTCTCTTAGGCCATATCTCGCCAAGCGAAACAAGTAGCATTTTATCGTTATGTGGCAGTGACGCCATAAAGGTGCCTCAGTATTTCTAGGTAGCCGAATTTTCACTCTCTGTCGAGATGAGATAACCTGAGGTTTTCTTAGAAACAAGTCTCACTAGTCGCGGCGAAAACAGCTTAACTGTACCACTGCGATGGCTTCACGCATCAGTCTGTCATCCTAGCATGCGTAAATAATACAAAACTAGAGAGAGATTATTCAATTGACTGACGTGCGTACCTTCAATTCCAAAGGAAACTTTGCTTTTGGTCGAACAGCCTTTTTCGGGACGTTAATAATCACACCAGGATAATCAGGGTGATTGAATGAGCCGCCATTAGGTGTAATGGTGTAAGGTGGAGAAGACTTGAGACGACAAACTACTGCGTATGTTGAGCACTCAGTTATGTCAGCTTGAGCAACGGGAAAGAAAAAGTCTGGGATGTCATGGTGAGAGGGAAAGTTATCTTCTACGTCTGTAGACAAGACATATGAAAAACAACAAAATAAGAATACAGTGCTAGTGTTATTTTTCATTATCATTATCATTGTAAAAAAGATCATCACAGTTGAAGATGCAAAAAAAAAGAACGTCTAAAAAAATTGAGGCAGGAAAGAAAACTATGATCATCCCATGTAAGGAAATCCAAGACAGCCTCAGATTCTGGATTCTACGCCGTGGATCAGTCCAGATTTCAGATACTGGATTCCAGTATTTGTCAGTGGAACTAGGATTCCGGATTCCAATCGTTAGTGGGATTCCAGATTCCTTGAGCTGTATTCCAGATTCCAAGGCCCAGGATTTCTGATTCCACAAGCAAAATTTTCTCGGTTTCCAGAATCCCATGAATGGGTCGGAAACAAACTCGGGGCTGGTAATTAAATTGGCTCTTAACTTACCCGGGAAAGATAAAGACAAACTAATAAATATATGAATTTCATACATTTGAACTGCTTCCATAGGAACACCTAAGGTGTGAACCGACGGAAGCAATAGAGATTAAGCTTCACGTATACGGCAAACGCCAGATTCAAGTTGAGAATTTCTCAAAATAGAAATTGAGCAGATAAAAACAGCTCAGAACAATTCTTATGAATAAAAATTGCGCGAATCTACTAATTTAGGAGTAGAAATGATGAGAAGTAAACGACTAGTAAAGAGGAAACTTGGTCACGTGGTACAAATTCGCGTTTGCCATTGGACGTAAAGTCATGCTTAACGTGTCTAATAATGAAGTTGTGCGGTCAACTCCCTTTATGACTGACACCTTATAAGATACCAGCTTATAAGAGATGTCCATCTTATAAAGAGTCAATTTAAAGGAGTAGAGACCAGCTCTAGGTGTCCGTTTTAGCGAGGTGTCCGTTACCCCGGGGGGGGGGGGGTACTGCCATATATGGGCTATATAAGAATGTGCCGCTGTGAAGGGTATGGATTTCAAGCAGTTTACTCTAGGATAGGGTATATGACTCAGAACATTTGGTTCTAAAATAGGGTATCATTTTTCAGGAAACTGATCAGTTGGTTGAAGATTTTATCTAGACTAGGGAAACAGCTACTCTAGGATAGGGGGGGGGGGGGGGGGGTGGGGGGGTTTTAGGGAGAACATGTATGTGGGGGGGGGGGGGGGGGGGGGGAGGTGGGGGGTGTTTGCTAGAGTAGGGGGAAAAAAATTTAGCGAAACCGGGCTGGGATAAGTTAAGGGGTCCAGGGACCCCGGGGGCCCACCCCCCCCCAAAAAATCCAAAAGTCCCCCCCCCCCCCCCGGCGTCCGTTAAGAGAGAGCTGACTGTAACATCACAAAACAAACGACCATAATTGTATGGCTATAACATGTATGGAAGGTAATTTAACCAATACATAAAGACTAGCATTGAGACAATGGACTGCTATTCAAAGAGCAAATGATTTAAAAACCTTGCCAGCACCGCAAGTCCTCAGTTCCATCCACTTCTTCCCATTCATTGCTTTCCCAATCGATCAGCCTCTTTATCACCAGTTCGTAGCCCTGTAAACCAGGCGCACTGTGAGAGAGAACCAGTTTCACCTCAGCATTGAATTCCAGTTCATCGCCAGTGATGGTCGAAATCTCAAGAACATTGCTGACAACTGACTCGTGCTCTTGCAGTGGGGGCGAACGTGCATTGCAATTCCATCGGCGGACCACTATTGGGGTAGGCTCAGATACGGCGTCAGGACGGAAGAAAATGTGGGCGCCCCCTCGTTTGAGGACCCAGTGGGCACCTTCACTAGTAAGTGTACCTCTAAAATCAATCAATCAATCAATCAATCAAACAGTCATCAAACAATCCATCAATTAGCGGACCTCATTAACCTTTGCATAAAAAGTTCCCCAAACGTTCAAAAGGGTTAAAAGAAAATTTCCCTCATTTTTACCAAACAGGTAATAAGGTCGTTTTGCCAAGTTGAGCTTAGATGGGCATTATCAGGCAGGTATGACCCTATCATGTAACTTTGACCAATTATTTTCAGCAACACAGAAACTAACGAGCTTGCTTGTTTGAAGATGGTAAAACGTAAAGTCTTGCAATAGGAAGATGTATCGCAATGGGATTACCGATTGCACTGTTATACTGTTCCTTACCTGTGCATACCCTCAAACGAATTCCCATTTCTCTGAGAGACAACTCTAGTCTGCTACACAGCCGTTTTCAGTGTCGTCACGCAACGCTCCTCCCCAGAAGCGTAGCGTGACGACACTAAAAACGGCTGTGTAGCAAACTAAGATAACTCTTGACGCAAAATGAATGGCATGATTAGTCAGAGTGGAGGTTTCTCAATGTCAGTGTGTTCTTACAGTGGTCTAAAGGAACATTAGTATATTTACTCGTGTAGCTTAACGTTTTCTAAGTCTGATTCATCCAAGTCCTCTGTTTGTCCCTCCAGGCTAAGTTCATGAATTTGTTGTGGCAATTCGTGTTCTTCTGTAATCTCATCATCTCCAGAAATGTCCATGTTATTGTCGTTTTCATCTCCATCATCATTATCAGCGTCATCCTCACCACCATCACCGCCACCATCATCGCCACCATCGTTGTTGCCACTATCGTCGTTTTCATTAAAATCATCATCTACACTGTCATCGTCATCATTACCACCATCGTAGTCGTCATCATCATCGTCATCGTTGTCAGGAGACGTCTCTGATAAACACAATGTGGAATGTTTACGGCATAGAGTTAAGCTAATTTGCACCTTTTTCAGTTGAGAAGAGAAAAATTTAATAGATATGTTATATCGATCACAAGTTAGGAGACGGTGGAGCCATATAAAAATGAAATGTCCCGCAGAAACACGCATGCAGGAGAAAGTTATAGTTATACTTAATGCAACAACTGCTATAAAATCTTGCAGCCGGGTCCACATCGTTGTTCCTTACTGTATTTGACAACAGAGCAATTATCTTTTAGCAAAATTTGTTAATTTTTTTTCATAATTATAGATGCAAGACCTTCCTTCAGCATGTTTAAATATTTATGACAATAATAATGATGATGATGATGATACCTGCTCTTGCGAATGGATTAAGGGAACGCAAGGAAAACGATGATCCCCGCTTGGTTTTCTATTTGAAAACAAACACACTTTTAGTAAGAACACTTTTTTTTCTATTTTTTTTCTTAAATGACAAAAATTAGTAGCCGACGGTGTTCTTGCATACACTTAAGCTATGGTTGCCTTTCTTACCTGTAGCAGCTTATTATACTGTTTCGCCTCCTTTTCATGCCCAAGTAAAGTTGCCAGATCTTCTAGTGTAGTGAGCAAGTCAATTCTGTCTCGTTCTGTCAACTCTGAACGGTTCTTTTTCCACCTTCTCTCGTAGAATCCAAAGGATTCCTTTTGATATTTCTCAAAAAGTTCTTTATTTTTAGCTTCTTTACACAGCCTTAACAAAGTTTGTAAGATGTGTTCTCTCTGCTCATAAGGCAGCATCTTGGTATTTGGAGAATTCCAAGCTCCTTCGTAAAACCAAAGGGCTTCACTTTGATATTTTCTCCTTGTCTTGACATCAGCCTCTTCCCCAATCCGCTCGCTAATAGCATCAATGATCTTCATGTTGGCCTGAGAGAAGTGAAACCTTTCAAAACTTTTCTCCTCGTCCCACCATCTTTGATAAAACTCAAAGACTTCCTTCTGGAATGCCCTTTTTCTCTCCCCCCGAAGCATTCCCTCATAACTCTTAATGATTCTGTTCCATACTTCACTATGGTTCCCTTGTCCCAGGGATTTCTCAATCTCCCATGCTTCTTCGTAATATTCTTCAGCTTCATTAAAATCCTCAAGACTACGAGAAATTTCTGCCATTTGAAAAGTGCTCCGGGCAGTCAATGGATGTTTGCCAAGGATATCTTTTCGAATCTGATACCCTTTAGAAGCAAATGTTTTTGCCTCCTCAAACTCCATGAGCCATGAGTGAGCGTTAGCAATGTTTCTGTTATAAAGTGCTGTGTATAGAATCCCAGTGAGTTTGAGTTCCTTGGCTAAATCTAATGCCTCTTGATAGTATTCTATAGCCTTGCGAAAGTTTTTTTCGGCCTGGGGTGTCATGGTTCTCTTTTTGTTGTACTCTTGAATGGCCATAGATTCATAAGCTGTCCCAATTTGACTTCTAAACAGAGGCAAGTCAAAGTGCTCCCTTGAACCAGAAAGTTTTTGACGCATTTCGTACGCTCTTGTGTAAAACTTAATCGCTTCCTCTGGTTCCCCGAGATTGCTGTAGCAATTTCCAATGGCATTCAAACATCTGCAAGTACTTGTGTGATTTTTTAATTGGTATTCCATTATTTCCAAGGAACTACTCAAAAGTTTAAGCGCTTTTGGCGAATTCCCTGCTCGGCAGAAGACTTCTCCTTCAACAAACAGACAAAAGCTTTTCGCGAGCTTGAAAAGCGTAGTCTTTTTGCTACCACTCTGGACCCTCTTCAGCAACTCCCTGGCCTCTTGAACAACGTTTGCAGCCTTACGCCATCCTTCAAGATTAAGCACCTGCAAAGTTTCCCAACAGCGCATTTCTGCTCGAAACATGGAACCTGCCGAGAAAAATAGAGAGCGGAAAAATGAAAAAAACATTTTTATCCGAAAAGAATCTGTGTCAATGCTCAAGTTAACCCTTTAAGACCCAAGATCCACAAACAAATTCTCCAGGCATATCTCCATACAGTTTATTTAAGAATAGTTGAGAGAATTTGGTTTTGGTTTAAGATCAAAGCATTCTCCCTTTGGTGATCAGTTTAGGAATTCTCATAACCTTTACTCTTGATGATCTGCTGATGTTGTTGGGAAAAAATTGATGTTGGTCACTCTTGGGGCCTAAAGGGTTAAGGAGTCTTGGGCATTGACAAAATTAATGACTGTTTTCTTAGGCTATAAAAGGAACTTATCCTCCTCACCTTGTTTTCCATCTTCCTCGACCTTTTCAGCCCAGGCATGAAAAATCTTTCTTCTTTGCTTTTGATCATTGACCATGGCTTCCAATAAATAACAAATCATAACGCTTTGTTGATGTTGTCTTGGAATTAGAAGGTAGCCGGACTTTAAAGAAATGTCCAAGGCAAGTTCAAAATTGAGTTTTTCAAAATCATAGCTGTCAAATGCTTTTACATACTCCTTGTCCAAAAGGGCTGCAATGGTCGTCAACTGAGAAATGAAATGCTTGCAAAAGTTGTCTTTTGCTTTCTGGAAAGCATCCACGAAAGCCTTGATATTACCAATGCTTTTCAGAAACTTTCGCATCAAAGGGTGTAAATCATACAACAGCTCTTTTGCCTCGGGCACAACAGACACCACCTGACTGTTACGCATTCCTTCCATTCTTATTGCAGCTTCTGAAACGTTTACACCAAGTATCTTAGAGGCTGCTTCCAATGAAAATGGGCGGCAGAAGAGTGACACTGAAACAGCAGACTCTTGAAGTGTTTTACTTGGAAGAAAAAAGAAAATTTTTCTCAAACATGACAGCTGTTCCTCATCGATACCTTCTTCTTTGGCATCAAACGTTTCTTTCTTCTCAGCCTCATCATCTCCAGCGTCTTGGGACGGCTCCACCTCTAACTCCTGTTCAATGGTTCCAAGAAGCCTTTCTGCATCAGCTATCTCCTGTCTTAAGATTGATGCCATTCCATTAAGCAATAGTGGCTTTCCTCTGCACATCTCGACTAGTCTCTCTCTCTGACTGCCTTGAATAGCCGGAGTCCCTTGCCTTTGAAGGAGCTCCCCCGAAGAGATCTTTTCCAAACTTTTCACTTCGTAATTATCCACACCGTGACGAAATGCACCCCTAGATGTTAAAAGAATCTTCAATGAAGATTTCGCTTGACCACTGATAAGTCGCTGGAGGAAAGTGACAAAATCATCATTGAGGCTAGTGGCAGCCTTGCTGTTTACGCCCGAAAATTGATCTACATTGTCTAGAAGCAACAATATGTCCCCTAGTCCCCGTTGCCTCAACTGCCGCATTTTAAAAATAACAGGATTCGCTTCATAGCTCACAGTTGTTGTCTCCTTTGATCCGATCATCAATGCCTGCAAAACTTGGAAGTGAACGTCCTCCATCCTCTCCACTTCTCTCAAGTCCACTTTGAATTTCATTGTTCCTTGCCACTGAGATACAACTTCAGTCGCAAGTCTCGTTTTTCCGACACCGCTTGATCCATACAGGTTCAAGACGCTTGATCCACCAGTTTTTAACTTCGACATAACATTTTCTAAATCGCTGTGTCTCCCGGTTAATTCCTTTCTTGTCGCTACCGTTGGTTCTTCAATCTCTTGCAAGCGGATTGCCTTGAAACCTCTAATCTTTGACTCAATTCCTTCCTTCTTAGATGTTTGTGGAGTTACCACAAACTTCTCCAACAAAGTCAAATTGTCCTCCGACACAAGACCCTGATTTGCAAAAAGATGCAGGCATGAATATAAATCCTGATCTCCTTTATCCGCGAACTTTCCCTTCTCAAAATTCGTTTTGATAGACGATACAGCATATTTAAGTTCTTCTGGGCTCAGATCATCGACGACATCTTTTAAAAGTTTATCAAACCGAGGAGAAATCTCTCCCGTCCTCAAAGACGTCTCAAGCGACGCCATCATGTGCTCAACCAAGCGATGTCGTGACATGCATAGAGTTGAATAAATTTAGCCTCGTGGCCAGATGTCAGGCGGAAGTGTATGTCTGAACACCAGACAACAGTGATATTAATAACTTATATCACGCATTCAAACTAAGAATCGTGCAAAAGAATGCGAAATTTTATAGTGTTGCAAACGTAATGCTTAAGAACTAAGAAATGCATCAATATAAAAAGAATAATTACAAAATTAATATGTAACAGGTAGTTTAAAATAGTCTCACACGAACTGTACAACACGACATATACATAACGTTAGTAATCCATTTCTTAATTGGCATAATCACGTGTTGTGTGGCACGTGACATAAACGATAGTGCCGTGATATACAGTTTAACAATATAACCGAGCAACTACATATTTTACAAGAGGTCGTTACCTTTCTTGTATTCATAATTATAATAAAAATTTCCTTTTTCATTCTATTTGCCTAAAGTGGCAGACAAATAAAAAATACTATCTGTCTATTTCTTCATACAAATGAAGCAGTTGTCGTTTGAGTGGGAGAGTGTAGGGGGTGGGTGACCAGGCCCCGGGATAGTAGCCCATTCCAGGCATTCAGATAGTAGAGCGCAGCGGTCAGATGGTGGGGAGCGAGTACACCGGGAAAACTGGGCGGGGGGGGGGGGGGGGGTTTGTGATTCGTTGAGCAGGGTTGGTGTTTTGGGGGGGGGGTGTGGGGGGGTTGGTGGCGGAGGTTAGGGGATATGACGGCTTATGCAGTAGTGGGTGGGGTGGCCAGGTTGGGGTGAGGGGGGGGGTGTTCTCAATCTTGTGAGGGGTGGGGGGGGGGGTTGGGGCGACTTTTCTCCACGCAATTTTTTTCTTCGTGAATTTTTCTCCCGCGCTCTACTAGCTGAACGCCTGGACTAGACCCCAGGAGAGTACTATCCACTCCTAATACTTATTCGTTGGATAATAATTCAGTTATCCTGTGGTCAGCACCATCCAATTCAACGTTTGAACAACAAGGCCCAGGAGCTTAGGGGTGGGGGGGGGGGGGGGGCGGGGGGGGGGGGGGGGGGGGAACAGGGGGGGGGGGGGGGTTTTCGTGGGGGTGGAAAAACAAAAACAGATAAAAATGAAGAAATCAAAAAAGGGCTCATGTGAGGATGCTATGAGAAACGGGGCGGAGTGGGGTGGGGGGCGGGGTTTTGCAGGGTAGGAGAAGTGGGAGGTTTGGACCTCGGCATTTCAGAGTTTCAAAGTCTATGATTATTTTTTCACTTTGTAACTTGTAAATTATGCTTATATATTTCATTGTTTTTCAAGAGGCTGCGATTTTGTCCGCTAAGAAGTAATTCATTTGAAAAATTTTTATACAAAATTGAGGCAACTAAACAAAAGAAAATAAATCGCATGCACTGATACAACGTAGCCTTGCATTAACGATAACAATGACGCCCAGAAAGTTCAAACTCTTTATAATTTTATTGGTGAATTTTCAATTTTGATTTCAGTACACAAATAATACCTTAACTCCTATCAGCTATAATTGTAAATACACGACATTAAGAGCTTGTTCTACCTGAAACAGGCTACCCAACCTGTATTTTGTGTAGTTGTCTTTTTGTTTCTGTTTTTCTTGTGTCGTCTGAGTTTGAAGGTAAATATTTTCATTCAGAAGAACTTGGTGAGGGAGAATGAAAGTAATGATGTAGCGACCATTAAGTGCAAAATTGGGGGGGGGGGGGGGGTAAACACGGGAAAAATAATATAGGTGAAATTTGGAGGTTTTTTTTTAAAAAATAATAGTTTTATTTAATATAAAAAGTTTCCTTTTTTAATTTTAAAGGGTTAAGGGTTTCAAAAAAATTTTTTAAAAAATAAAAAAAAAAGGAAAAACGG